CAAAGTAGAATAATCATATTATTATTGTTACTATTGAGGAGAATACTCCATCCCTCATTCATTGCTTTCAAAAGCAACTACAATAATTAGTCAACAGTATTATTCCTATCGATCCAATCCTTGCCAACCGATACACACCGGTCAGTGGAAAGGTTGCCCTGGTCATACACACTATCCACCAAAGAATATCAACATATTGCTGATAACAGCCAAATCTTAGCATGAGGTAGAGGAAAGAGAGAGAGAGAGAGAGAGAAAGAAACATACTGAGAGAGGAAAGAAAAAAAAAGGTGAAATTAGGATAGAATGTATTCTTCCATTGGAAAAAAATGATTTGCATTTTCAATAGAGGCTAGGCCAGCAAATCATGTACTTTAAATGATGAGAAAATGGAGATATGGATCATTACACAGTTGAGCTTCACTGCTGAAGAGCTAGGCGGTCGATACCAATAGTAATTCATTAAATAGCCCCCAAAATAAAGCAAAATGATTAAAATTCAAAGAATCCAAGTTGTACATTGTACACCTTGCTAAAGTGTACAATCTACTTTGTTATTTTATGTCATCAAGCGTTAATTTCATGCAATTCTAAATACAAGTTATCAAATGCACATGATACTGCGGTGTCAATTATTTAGATCCCAGTCATTCCATTATTTTACGGTAAAGCGATGATTGACTTATGACCACAGTCTACGTTTTTTTTGCATTTCTAAATTTAGAATTGATATTTTGTTTGCTGTCACTGTTCATCCGATCCAAGTTATTTTTTCTGCCTGTGGTGATAGCAATTATTTGAACTACTGTCTTATCCCATGTTGCGCTGACTCTATATCAAATTGACACCACCACGGCTGCCATAGGATCAACCATCATCGCCAGCCTTGCTCGTAGTATTTGTTCAGTTATTCCCATTTCGGTCGTAGTATCTTGATGTTGAAAGGCAATCAATGGATGATGAATAATATGCTGTTCTAATGACTAGGGACGGTAAGCAAACGCCATTTATGCAAAAACCTTTGATATTTAACGCTCACATCTTTACTTTTAGAAGGCCTACAAAAAAAAAGTGGGGACTTTGCATAGTTTTAGTTTCGGTCTATGTCGAGCTAATTCAATCAAACACCCAATACAGTAAAATACATGTAAAAGTGCAATACAACGATGCAACCATACATACTATATTTTTATTCTACAATATTGAGAGGTAAACTGCTGTAGCATTATGCTTACGATTTCATGCTTCTAATGCTGTATTGTCAGGTTATCATGATATATAATATATGGGAATATATATATATAATATATATATATATACAGTACGCCTTGCGGATGATATAATCATGACGTATTTATTATACACAGTGAATATTTTTTAATTAAGATTTAAAATTATGAAATGATATCCTTATCACATAATCGCACATGGCAAAACGACAAAATGTGTTCTTACTACTGCACAGTATTCACCATTTCAGCTAATACTGTACTTTTTCAATTAGAGTATAAATATTTTCAAATTGTGCTATGTCCTTACTCTATAGATTATAATTGATCAAGTCTTTGCAATGTTGATGTTGGCTATTGAGTTTTAGACTGAATGACGAATATTTTTCTAAGTCGCGCTTTCAATGACATAATATGCACGGCACATTTTTGTAATTTTTGTTCAAGTTGAGCAAACACCTGCTGATCGACACATTACGTCGACTTTGATAATCGATATCTGCACATGCCGACTTGGCTCAGGAAGCGAGCTTTCATACATCTTAAGTTAATAGAGCGTACTATGTACGTAGATCAAATTTAGGCTGCGACATTTTGGATTACGTACAACTTCCTTAGTCACGGTCGATTTAAAGTTGCAGAATGGAATCAATGAAAGTTGTCAACAATTTTCGACCATTTCTAGCTCTTCTCCACAATTCATTTATACCTATACGGTACTAAAGTGACCCTGGTGGTAGCTAATAGAATCATTGCAGTTATCTTTTGAGTCTAATTATGCACGCACAGTCACAAGCAATTGCACCCCTGCCGGGTTTTTATTTTACGGTGTATGCAAGGTGAATGACTATATGTTAATTGAATGCTTATATGGCAATCTATTCTGCCAGGCAGTGAACAAGTAACAGGCTGTGCTAGAGTTGCATAGTTTTGGTCTGATATTATATTGTACGAGTAGTCAGTACAGTACTAGTTTGAAGACTCTGATCTTGATACTGTTTATACGATCATACACTGTTTATTTACATTCAGTAAGTAAATATCTTACATAAGATTCGTAAGGTTCGTAGTACAGACTGTACAGTGTACAGTGCTGTACCACGGTAGATGGAAGTCCCTAGCTTTTAGAGCTTCTACGGCAGATACGCAAATTAACTATTTCTTATATTTGTAATTATTTAAGTCAGGTGTTGGATACGCATAAGTACATCGTGCAAAATAAAAGGAACAAACGCTCTCAGAATTTGTACGCGCATATCTTTTAGACTACGTATTAAATTAGTAGCTATTGAATAACAACCACTGGATAGTTATTGCCAAGGCATAAATACTTATCTTGATAAGATTCCATCGTACTTGTAGATTCTTATTACGGCTTAAAGCACTGTTAAAGTATAAATTTAATACCCTAATTTGGGAATATTAATTGTAGTAATAAGGTAATACTGTATTCTGATGTATTTACATAGTGGACTACAGCATTTAGAACCAATTTATTATCTAGCTAATCTGATTAATGATTTACAGTTAGTAGCATGACCAATGCTAATTTTAATGACTAGGTAATGACATCGTCGACGAGTACCGGTAGTTTTGAGGCCCATCATAGAACTCGTAGATTGAACTTATCATGTATATATATTACTGCACTGTACATGCTGACTAACGTGACAAAATAAGATTATTTGGATAACTATAAGCTTCTGAGCTAATTTATTATGCTACTAATCTGCTAGTAGGATATTTAATTAGAACTAAACTACAAAGTTATTTGGGATTATCTTTTTTGGGGATCAATTTGTTGTACATGAAATTCCACTATCAACAATTTTCTAGGTCTATGACTGTATTCTTCTTTTTTTCCTATGCGTTGCTCTAATGCTTTCAATATGGATTGTTATACTGTAGCTTGTCTTTATTGCCAGTTCAATCATACTTGTTGAATGTTGTAATACAATAAGAGTATAGAACACCACGCTGCACCTGTAAGCGTGCTTTTGCAAGTACTGTACTGATGCCGGCATGTTTATGCTTAAAATATTATAACAACAATCGCAGGAAAGCAATTGAGCTATTGTACACTTAAAGGAACATTTGTAACGTTATCTAATGGCTATACTGTACGATGTTTGCAATTTACCGTGCGAGTACTAAGTATCTTTTAATGCATCGATTCATATTCCTCAACCAAAGGTATAACTTTTTATTTTTTTTTATCAGGTATATGACTAGAATGATCTCTATGCACATTTAGTCATAATCCCATTCACTGTTTTTGGTAATACGAGTACCTTTATTTGTCATTATTGGCGTTAGGAGAGGGATAGTTCGAGGCATGATCTACTTCTTTGAGATTGTACAATGTGCAGTCGCTGATCCTCATGTGCAACCTTAGTACTATTTTGATTGCACTGAATAAATTTATGATACTTACACAGCATGTTTAAAATAGCGCTGCAGTAATTACAACAAGTCATTGCCAATAAATGCGCGTACTGTACAGTATTCTATGATGATCAATATATCTGCAATGATGGATAAACTGCAACAAAATGATTATCCTATTTATTGCATTAAATCCGTGCAACGACGCAAATACTCATAAGATATGGAATAAGTGGATGTATAACAAATGTGTGAGCACTGACTGTGGACTAGTGCATCAGTAACATTAAGCCAAAAGAATTCGAAAGAGTTGCTTCGGATGGAAGTGTTTAAGTTTCTATGGAAAACTCTAATAAATTAAATTAAATCTAATTTAATCATGTCGACAATAGCAACCACCCATCATATTCGTAGATCACGATACCGTGAACTAATCGAACAGAGAGTCCAGAAGGCACAACATGATTACATGGAAAGGACAATATATTGATCATGTTGTGAGGCGGTCACACCTTGCAATTAGCTGCATATCTGCTGCAGTAAATTGATTTTAAGAATGTAACAAAATTGGAGTTTTCATTGTATCTACAGATTGCTCCTTCAGCAAATTTTACAAGTTAATTTCTATATCGTCAAAGCCTGAATAAGGTCTTTACCACACCTTATAAATTAACCTTGCGATGTTAGTCTTAGCCAAAATTGGGCAATAGATTTACTAACATTGACCATTTCATGGGGTAGGATGTCTATACCAATACAACAATTTATAGTAATCTATCTTTCAAATTATCTTTCTCAAGCGTTCTCTATTTCAATCGCTGGTTTTTATCTATGGTTTCTTCTGATTAAGGATACACGAAATTATATAGATTGTAGTGATGAATAAAAATTTAAATAGGCAATACCTAGTCGATTGTACTACGGTAATTTGCAATTATTAATGTAGTAGTGGCTGTAGATATCATGCGTTGTCTATCTAACCACTATGGCAGTGCTGTGTAGACTATTTAAATAGAGTAGTTTCCTACTTCTTTGATATTCATGCTTGATTTTATGTTTAGCCAAAAAAAGAATTGCAATCCACACCTAAGAGTATGATGCAAAACTAGCACTTCACGTAGACGCTGCAATTACCTATACATGAAAGTTTATGAACAACTTTAAGTTTCTACTTTCCACTCTTACTATTTGTGTACTGTATGCCGTTTTTTGTCTTGAGCCTATCTGGAGCATATTAATCATGTTCTTCAATATTACCCTATGATTAAACGGAATTACTGCTGAAACTATAGATACTGTGCAATTAGTTAATCATACGGCTATTTCTTATTTCTTTGCATAGGTGGAAACTGGATAGAATAACTAAATAATTTGCAATTTCACCTGATGGAAAACTACGTACAAGTTACCGAAATTGCTAATGGTGCTTATGGCCGAGTCTACAAAGCTCGTGATTTGAACCATAATCGATTGGTTGCTTTAAAAAAGATAGCGGTCATTAATGATGAGCAGGGTATTCCCATTTCTACCATTCGTGAAATAACCTCTTTGAAATCGTTACAATCATTCGGCCATCAAAATATTGTGAGGTAAAACAATTACTGCTTTCGATGTTTTAATTTAGAATGATATGAATGCTGCAATATGATTACGATGACTTTTTACGATTGAGTGAATATTACTACCTTATAGGCGCATGCTGGTGTACTACCATAGTTAGAGGGTTTTTAATCCTATGTCACTCTATGTGTAAGGTGCGAATTTTAAGATCACCCTTTAAAGACATAAATTAATCTAGTGAACTTTTCGTACTGTAGTTGCATCTTTATCATTCGTAAACGATACATTTCAAGCCTTCTTACAATTAATGATGGACAAGTGTATGCATTAGTATCAAAGATATGTCTGTTTGTAGTATAAATTATTTTACGAGATGTAAATGCTATGGAGAGCAGATAAATGCATATTTTGTATATGCTTATGCATTCGATGTTACTTGATGTTACTTATGGTTCAGTAGCAATAATAATTGATCTATGGATATTTCCTTTGATAACTGTAGACATTCGGCTTGTAGATTGTTAATGACATTGGATTTAAGAGACGGTATTTCTGTTATTACATTGTATGCTAGTCGGATGTCATATTAATATGTACTGGATTTACAGGATTGTTATCAAAACCGTAGAATCAAATAGAAAATTTGATGCAATAATGATAACGTCATGCAGGCAAAATAAATAATTCAAAAATGAGTAAACATTTGCCGGTTTGCTAAATTAATAATAGTTTGAAAATTTATTATCCCAATGGTTCAATTTCGTTTATTCTAAGACTACTGGAAACCTATTGTACAGAGCTATTCATTATCCTTGTACATGTGTTATACTTATAGTCTGTTAAATATAGTAGTATTGTGTATTTGTATAATAATTTAATGTATACAGTTAGTACTTTTACAAGGTAGATTTTATAGATTTTAGAAAAACGTAATCAAATTATAAGCAGGAGTTGTAGAGGTTATTTCGATTTGAAAGAAAGTACCTTTAGTTAGTCGTTGAGAATTGTTATTGTTAATCTCAAGACTTGAAATAAAAATCAAGATTCTTAAATAAAGGATCTTTTTGTTACCTGTTTTATTGATTTTATTTTCTTATATTTTTAGGCTCTATGATATCTTTGCAAACTATACAGTTGATCGACGAACTATGGATTTAACGTTAGTATTTGAACATGTTGAACAAGATTTACAAACATATATAAGAAATTGCCCTTCAGCTGGCATTGACACACGTAAAATTAAGGTAAAGCTATGTATTTTTTTTTAACAATTACAGCATTGCATGGTATAATTGCAATACTGTACTTTCTGGTCAAACGCGACTTCGGTGTTCCTTTAAGTATGTTCATTGTCAAGTTATATGTCACCTTTCTAATTTTTATTATCCCTTAATTTATAGGACATCATTTATCAGATAGTTAATGCTATCGATTTTCTACATGCTAATCGAATAGTCCATCGTGATTTGAAACCACAAAATGTCCTCATTAGTCGACAAGGAATTGTTAAAGTCGCAGATTTTGGCTTAGCTAAAGTATTTTGTGAAAATGTGCCAATAACTTCTGTGGTAAGATATCGATAGTTGCGTAGGATTTTTGAAAAATGATATTTACGTGTTAAGAATACATTGAGGTAGAGCAATACAATATGGTATTGATAATCTTTTGGTATCAATTGACATGCAGATAGAAATGAAGTAGTTTATGACTAACTGAATTAATAATGCGTGTGCTTGCATTACCCAAGTTGCAACTAAAATGCCATATACTATATGTTTGTATATACCTATCTGATAAATAGGTAGTAACGCTATGGTATCGATGTCCTGAAGTACTCTTGCAATCGACGTATGCGACTCCTGTAGATATGTGGAGTGTTGGATGTATTATGGCAGAATTATACCTTAGAGAGTAAGTGTCTTCATCGGAAGATAGGATTAGTCGATGGCATACATTTTTGGATAATTTTCCTGTATTAGTTTGTGGTTAGTAGTATGATTAATGGAACATCATTACACTTAGGCCTTTATTTTGCGGTCAGACTGACATTGACCAATTGCAGAAAATATTTAGGTAAGTTACTTGTCGTCTTAGTCATTGAATTACTTTATTTTGTTATTATAAACCAACGATTATGTTGAAAAAATTTTTCGAGAAATTTTTCTCTGTACGAAATACGGTATTTCTTCTATATGCAGTATATGCACTACTGTCTTGATTAATTTTATTTACGAGATAAACTAAGAATTGCCTTTGTACGTATTTTGATTTTTTGTAGCATGACTGGATTGCCTGATGAATCTGAGTGGCCAGTAAACATTCCTTTTTCCCGAAGTACATTTTGTCAGTATACGCGTAGACCGGTTCAGTATAGTGAAATGATGCCTGAAATTTGCCAGGATGGAGTCGATTTATTACAGGTCTAACAATAATACACATAGCACAATATACTTTCGTAATTACAATTGAAATTACATTATATTAATGGATTCGTTTACACTCTTAGAAATTACTTAAATTCAATCCTAAGGAAAGACTGACAGCTGAAGAATCGTTGCAGCATCCTTACTTTCAAGATGTTTTACCTTCTGAAAAATCAGATAATCACGGTGACGTTAACGGACGTCAATGAAAGGGTGAACAATTGTTTTTGCTACGTGAGAAATTAAAGTAATCCATACAAGTTGTGGCAATTTTTATAATATTATGTAGCATTATATTTACGTAAACACTATTTTATAGGTAATACCCGATTTCAGTCTCTATGCCAGTTTTAAATTATTCGTATGTGAAATATGTGTTGCATTTTTTATCCTGGTATAATCTAGGAGCCTATTACACAGTATATTTGCTGGTTTTAAGTGGCGATTTTTTGTACAGTTAATTGTAAACTGAAAACCTGTATTGTTATCGAAGATATGTTTGAATAATGCCATCGTCGGATGATTGTTTGTATCATCTTGAAATGTGACTCTACTAGCACTGTTATTGTCTTTACCTGTAGAAGCAATTTTGCATATTCAATTCTCTCTGTCGAAGATGATGAATGATTTGTTTAAAGCAGAAAGATATCTATTTCTTGACAACTTCTTAGACTTTCATAACAACCGTAGTCAACTACTTTGTTTAGTTAAGAACTGCATCAGCTTAGTATTGATGAAATCAATTTGCTGCACTTAGTTTAAATGCTGTCATGGATAGATTCAACATACAATAGATGCTAGTTATGAACTTTAAGTCTTTTTTTGTTTCATTTTAATATTTCATATTGCACATAATTCATTAATAAAGTGCTTATTATACTTACTTTGATCAAAACGTGTGGATTTCTTCCGTTGTGTTAAAGTTGCCGTGCATGGAAAGAGAGGAGCAAAAAACTTAGCTTTGATGAATTTGTAAAGTGTAATGTTTGCGATTGGTGTGATTGGGAGTACTCAGAAGAAGATGGTGTACGCGAAATTTTAATATGTATATTGTGTAGTTTATTGCATCAATAATTTCCACCTACGTTTGATTCCATTAACAATACTGTAATTTTTTATTGTTTTATCTAGTATATACCTAATCCTACATAGAACATAGAAATGTGTTTACATTTAATAAACAAACGAGAACATAAACATATTATTCGCTATAGTTACTTTATGATCAAACCGACACTGATTCGTCATCATAGTTTACCAAGTACATATACCATTGGATAAAAAATTCATTAAACGCACTTCTGATAGATCTTTGTGATGTATCAGTGGTCTTGGAACTGAATTTGATACATGATTACGTAATCTTACAGATTATACCATCATGACTACAAGAATTAAAAATCATACGGTGTTAATGGAAAAGCACCATGGTGCGATAATGTTTCCTGTAAAATTAAGAAATATTCACTACAAGATGCACAGAATACGACAAAAATTTGCATTTTAAGACAATTTTAAAAGTAGGAACAGTTCAGGAATCTATCCATACACTGTGATACCAATTTTTGGATTGGTTTGACAAGATTAAAACGATACTATGCATTGTAATATCTACAGCATATTGTAACATAGGATGTAAGACTAGTTGCAATAATAATAGTTATCGCGATTTGGGTAAGCTCTACCACCTCACACTACAGTATCTTACTTATTTTTTAAATTAGTAAATGTAAATACCCAAGCCCACTTGCATGGTAATTGAGCAACGGTTAATGGTGGAATGTTAATAATGACTCCCTTATTCTTGGATTGACTTTTAAATGAAAAATTCCCTTTGTACCCAAGTAAACCAATTTTAGTTTCCTTTGCCTGCACCATTGGTTCAGCTAAGGATAAAGTAGAACCTGGCCACTTAAGAACGATAGCATACACAGTACCATTCTTGGATGTATACCTGAGAAGAAAAGGTGTTAAACTGTCAGTTGTCTTAATATATCTGTCATGTAGGCGTACTACTGTGTTTGTTGTTTAAGTCTTTTGTCTAGATAAAAAATTTTGAAGTAGCTTGCTATGGGCTAGCTTACCAAACATTACTGTTACTAGAGTCTTTGGCCACATGCCATGGTCGAGTCTCGTAAATGCCATCACCATTTACTTTTAGCCATTGGCCAAGTTGAGACAGTCTCTCTTGGAAGATCGGTACAATACGACCATCATGTGTTGGTCCGATATTAATGGCTAAATTACCATTACAACTATTTATGACACAAAAAACAATTCAAAGATTAGCAAGCTATGAGCACGATTGCATCAGAGTGATATATAATTTTTGTTTAGTTATAATATAATACCAATAGATAATTAGTGTACTGCACATAATAACGTATAGATACGTTTAGTGCTATGCTTAACAAAGCCATACCTAATTGTTTTAGCTAAAATTGATAATAATTCTTCAATAGTCAAGTAAGCGTTTAGGTTAGATGGCCGAGAGAAACCCCAGCTATAACGATCGATAGTCATGGCATTTTCAAATTTATGCTTCTGTATAGTGCCAGGGCTGTAGCGATCGCCACCAGTAAAAAAACCACCATGTTTATTTCTATCCCCTTTACCCCATCGATCGTTAGTGACAATGGTATTTTTGACAGGGCTAATTTATGTAGAAATTAAAAATGTTAATTTATAAAGCCTTCAATGAGATAAAATTATGATTTCATCATCCATCTATAATATGATTTATCTTGTAGTTATAACCTTTTATTATATAACCACGCAAGGAGCTGTTTGCTCTGCCAATAAGTATCATTCGCCGCCCATTCACCATCAGCCCACAAAATCTCTGGCTTATAATTCACGATCAGATCATGTATCTCGGGCATTAGAACTTCCTAGTTGATTTATTATTTTATGAAACATTAACATCTTGGTGATAACATAGTAAAAATAAATCTTAGTGGTGATAATGTCCTACAATCCTATCAAATGGACAAAGTGTTTCTGGTGCTAACATACTAGAATGAAATTTCATTTCATAGAGAATTTTATAACTGAGTCGTAATCGTAACTATATCACCGTTATGCAAGCAGAAATTAATTTCTATAGGATAATTCATCATTTACTTGTACGTAGGTTTTAGTTTTGAAGTTGTTTTTTTGATCTTGCAGAAAGATTGGATTAAACCATTCAAAGAGTGAGTGATAAGCACCGAAGCGAACTTTTGTTTTGTTTCTAATTGCATGAGCCAATTCACCTGGATTAGATGAGATAGATCAGTAAATGCATCTTAGTATTGCAGATCGTTCCTTGACATTGATGAATGTCAATGAGAGCGATAATGTGGAAATTGCTGCACCATCTCCATTAAATGTACAGTATGTATGGCATACGTATTGCGTCAGCTACTACAGAAACATTTGTAGAGCATTATCCGATTGTAAGAATGCCAATCTTGCATTTAAAGATACATTTAATAATGGTACCTATTCGTACGTACGTATTACTCAATTCAAGCATAAAATCGATTGAAAGGGTATTATCGAGGTGTAACACGATGGAGATATACGCGTATACTTGTAAGTGGACATTCTCAAAATTGGCAACTTGTAATCGATGATAACATAATTATGATATGGAAGCGATAAAATTGTACGTATGTCTACATGTGATATTACAGTGAAAGATGGTAGAAGACAGTTTTATACTTAATACTTTGTAATGATATACCATCAAGATAGTTGTAAGGTATTCGATTTGAAATAAATTATACCTCTTGGAAGAAGTCAAGAAATGTAAGACTATCTATGTCTAAATCATCATTACCTAGAAGATCTCTTTTGGATCCGACGGTCATAGAATTCCAATTCCATGAAGGCTTGGATGGATAAAGGGTATATCCTTCATGATGCTTTGAAGTTAAGATGACATATCTATAGTTTGAAGGATCAATCAAAATGGGTTAATTGAAAGTGAGAATTTGTAATACTCTTTTTTTGAATATCGATTGATGATGATTGGATATAAGTACAAGATAATTTAAAGATGATGTTGTAATCTTTCCGGTAAAGTAATGTTGTTGATGGCAATTGTTTACTATTGATAACTCGTTGAACGGTGAGCTGTAGACATATTATCTAGTACAGTATTTTCGATTTTAATGCAAAGCGTGGATACAGTAGAGTACTGTTGTGCGGTATAAGTTGACCAATTTATTGTGGTACCAGTGTCTATACATATTGAACTATTGGTATTTTGGGGACAAGGCGACAAGACTAGTAGCAAGTGAACATCAACAGTGCAGTTTTCATATTATCAGACATGGAAAGTACAGTAAAGTACGCGTATTACTACATCGGATAGAAATGAGGCAAAAGGAGATCGCCAATGACGTAAGTTTTTCGAATGGATAAATGACTGTCTACTTTACAGACTGATACCTATGGTGATGGTGTCTTGATGTAGGATGGCTATAGTATAGACGGATGAATTAACTATGATCATGTATTGGATCGGTTATTTAATAAATGATTGTTACTGAAGTGAAGCGGTTGGAGACCAGTGGATTTAGCATGCACTACTGATGGTATTGGTCCATACACTTACTTTGCGCCAGAATTTTGGATTATTTCAGCCCATTCGTAAGGATCGTACAATTCTGCACGAAACATGGGAGCGAAATCAGTATATTGGAAATCAGGGCGGAAATTTTTCTTCATAAATTGAACTGTTCCTGCATCAGGCTTGTTCCTTTTCCAGTTATGCCAAAACCATTCACTAGCAGCACCAGAGTGGCCATAACTCGGCACCGAGAATACTCCCCAATGCATAAAAATGCCAATTTTTGCTTTATCATACCAATCCGGTAAAGGTCTCTTATCCAAGGATTCCCATGTAGGCTGATAACTAACACATAAAACAGCCGATAAGTAAAACACAAGGAAGAAATTCAAGACCGCAAATGGCGTCTTCATTTTGTCTTGACTTTGTTGTTATTGATGGGGGCTTGTCTACTATGGGTTGTTGATATCGATGATGGATCACGATGATAACTGCTTCAATAGAGATTGTGAGGCGGTGTCCCGTACGTCAATAACACTCCATTGAAGAAACCAAATTGCTTGTAAAACTTCACTCTAGTGTTTAATACAGTCGTTTATTCGTCATACTATATCAACATTTTCATTCTTGAGCGGTGATTTGGCTAGCAAGATGCTCACGCCGATCATGTGACACCATCGCTACCGCACAGTTACAGTACAGTAGGATCTCTCTACAGTATTCTGTACTGTACACTGTACAGTAGTGTGACTCTGTACAGTACAGTGTAGAGTACTGTACTGCACCGTACTGTACACTGTACAGTATGTACTGTACTGTACTCTGCGGTATGCTGAAGCAGTAAAACGTTTCAAATGGTCTTGTAAACAAAACTGCTTGAAAGACTTCGCTCTCGTGTTTAATGCAGTCGCCTACTTGCAATACTATAGCAATATTTTCATTCTGGAGTGGTGATTTGCCTTGCAAGCTGCTCACGCCGATCATGTGACACGATCGCTTCTGCGCAGTAGTGGCTTTCTACAGTGTCCAGTACTGTGCAATTTACAGTACACTGTCGTACTGTACAGTACAGTACTGGACTGTATTAGTCTGTAGTGTTACTGTACAGTGTACACTTGTACAGCATTACTCTAGTGTTTAATGTAGTCGTCCACTACCCATACTATATCAATGTTTTCATTATTGAACGGTGATTTGGCTTGCAAGCTGCTCACGCCGATCATGTGACGTCATTACTTCTGCGCAGTAGGACCCCTCTACAGTGTACAGTATTAGTCTGTAGTGTTACTGTACACTTGGACAGCATCGCTCTAGTGTTTAATGCGGTCGTCTTCTCACCATACTATATCACTATTTTCATTCTTGAGCGGTGATTAAACGACTGTTTTAGTACAGCAAGAGTCTCTTCTAACTGCGGCCCACTGACTCTCTAGCAGTGCAGCGTAGCAATGGCAACGCAGGACGAAAGTGCTAATGACGGGAAACGAAAACGAGCTAAAGCTTATTACGTGAATTTTAGGAAGAAAAAGGTAACATACTTAGCGAACGATGATTAATCAACACTAGACTAGGTTGCAAACCTCCATGACAACAGCCATTATTCCTTTTTCTTCTATAGCATGTTGATCCCAGAGGTATGCGACCTGGATTGAATGGCGTTTTACTGACATGCAATAATGTGCAAAATAGGGGAGCTCTTGCTGAAATCTATCAATTACTCCATGAGGTATCGCAAATTTTCACTCTTGATGATGACATCTTTGAGTATAGATAGACGAGTTAAGGATAAAGTAATAAATTGATGCACAAGAGGCGATACACGTATCACAAGTGTTGTTGTTATCCTATGTAGCAGTCCCTGGCTTACGTATACATTGAATTCAATTTAAAGTCACCATTTTAAAGATTGTAGGCGAAATAAGACAATTTAGAAGATTCATTATTGACTAATTCTTACACCATACCTTCAAATTTTCTCTGGGACAGATAGATAAGATTTATTGGAGCCCAATTCAACTAGTTCAGGCATGCTTCAATAAATACTCTCAAGCTAAAGCTGAGCGTTATGTCCATCGATGACAGTCAATATTGCAGATAGTAATCCCCACATCAATTAATATTATTAAAATTATCGATGTGCAGTCTACAAGTTCTAATTGAGTACAGATAAATGGAATCAGTTTAAGGCCAATCGAAATGTTAAGACTAACTGTAGTGAGTACTATTAAGCTAAAACTTAGCCAAATGTGAAATAGCAACTAGACATAGGACAGCCAGTACACAATTTTCGACTGAAACTGTCACATTACAGATTCCACAATCTCGAATCTAGTACAGATACGGCAGATAAGATTAATTGAGTCCTACAAGATTGATCCAAGATGTGCTCTAATGGATACTGTTAGGTTTAAGTTTAACAATATACTGATTAGTCATAGTAGTAATTATTACAACCAATGTACAAAAGTCGATGTAAAGAGAGTTGGTATGGCTACGATCTCTAAAATGTACGCAGATACGTATAATCAAGGAAGCAATGACAATGCGACGGACTCCGATCTTTTTTATGCCTTGTTAATTCTATATAGGATTTACAAATAATACAATATTTAAAATAAATCATTAAAATGATGCGATGCAAGAACACAGGCATAGTGCTAGAAGTGATATACGACTATTTACAGTAGCAGCAACGATAAATTCACAAGTAGTAGGTAAGAGTTATGCTGCAGCTGACTCAGAGAGAATATTTTATCATGCTATAACTTGTCTCGTTACTAATGGATTGTGCCTCATAATGTCACTTACACCTACATTACTCCTGTCAATAGGTAATAGCTCTACGCATAGAATTGTGATTTTTTTATTTATACCTTGCAAGTATGTTTTCTATGAAACGTAATATACATATATATCTGTATATACTTACAGGTGACATAAGATTAAAGATTGCTATGCAATCACTATCTAATAACAAGTACTTTACTACTAATGTATAGTCTGCGGATCGATTATATGGTAATGATGATGGTGACGATTCCAAAACATCAAAATCTGAAGGTCAGTGTAGAGAATTCAAGTCTATTAATTACTGTATCACCAGTATTAACTGTTAATTACGTTCCACTCTCTCTACGTGACAGTAGATAATGATCCATCGAAAGAGTTAGAAAAGGAAATTAGCGCGCTTAAAGATAATTGGAAAAATTACTTTCAAGCTGTTGAAACAGGAGTGAAAAATATTTACTTTATTGAATGTAATAAAGGAGACCCTTACGAATTGACAAAATCGATTTTTAAAGATTTAATAGAGCGAAAGGCTAGCGTTAGGTAAAAATCATATGGATATGGCAATGAAACCTTATTACAGATATTTAGAGATCCATTCGTAGTAGTGTTATCGTTACATAGCATGACTGTGAATTAATCAGACTGAATAAAGATATTCAAAAATGTTACTACTGCTAATAGATGATACTTTGATGCAATTGTTTTCTCGAATAGATTTTGCCAGCGTTTGATACCTGTGACGTTCATTTGCCATTCATCATTAGACGATATTAAGAAATGCTGCCCTCAATATTTAAAGCAATATTTTCAAAACGATACTGCCAAAGAGTGTAAAGTATGTAAGACAGAAAACACTATTTAAATGATTTCTTATTATAATTCTCTGAATGAGTCTTATTTTTCAATTCAATGTAGTTTGCAATTTCATATAAATCGAGATATAACGGCGATCTCAATAGAGATCAAGTAATTGCAACCGTAGCCGATATAGTTATCGATGGCCAAATTAAGCATCAAGTCAATTTGGATAACCCTGATGTCGTTATTGTTATTGAAATTGTCAGGGTATGTCAATGTTGTCAGTTCTTACTACTGTTATGGTACAAAGTGATAAGGCATGATTTGTAATAGTTAATTAGTTATGATGCTGTCGTACATCACGTGAAGATGGGAGACTCTAATTACTGTATACTGTACAACTCAAGTATATGCTAATCATAAAATGTAGGATAGAATAATTATTTACAACCCTTATCATGGTTTCATTGAAATTGGCTACAGTATGCTTAGTATATTATAGTTTTCGAAAATTTCGACGATTAAATGCTCATTGTTGCTATGGAACGAAAATTTCGATGGTATGATTTGCAGGATAATTTCTTCGCTAAAATTTTAATATTTTATTTTTATTTTTACCTATAGAATGTATGCTGTATGAGTATATTAGATGACTTCCATCAAATGCGTAAATACAATCTTAACGAAGTGTCCCATCATGGTCGTTCTGAAGGAAAATGTGCGGTTGCTAAGACTAAAAGCCAAGAAGTAGACAATACGGCTGCAGATACAACCACATCAAATTAAAAAATTTTAACCGTATAGTTGAGATTTTTATTGCAGAAATTGTGCACAGGTCATGCATAGTTAATCAACAATTAATGAATGGCTAATATTATTCGATTGCGTGATGCATATGGATTTCAACGTGTGAAATTTTACTAGAATGTATTCTAACTTTAAGTAATAAAGATATTAATTTCCACACTACATATAGTTATAATATGATCGAGAGTTGAGGTCGACTCTAAATTAAGCCGCATACTGGTATATAAGAGTGCAGACTTGAAATAAATTCACTTCATTGACATTTACGTATTTACAGATGTGAGTCTATCTTTTAGGCTGCAGTTATGCAGGATTGACATAAATTGCGCATACCAGAACTCTGCTATGCCTGTTTACGGTCTGGGCTTAGCTGAGCTAGCTCATGAGCTTTTAAACTAGAATATCACTGTCAGGCTTCTTCTTTTAGTAACAAAGTCAAAATTCCAATTCGAGTATGGCTCCTGACTTTGCCTGGTTCACTGACCAATATGTAAGATTTCTCTGCTACAGTATGCATAGTTTTCCCTGCAAGGCCATCTTGCTCCGTAAAGTGAAATTTCCTGTTTCTTCTTTAGATGATAAAAGTGATGATAATTTTTTGACCATAGTCATCGTTTGCTTTTCTCGGTGTAGAATAGATGTTGTAGGTAGGAGTATACTAAATTAAAGATCTTTCAACCAATGCATAACTACATTCTTAATACAATGTTCTAGCGTTGCCATTCCGAAGAGGAATGTGCAGCTGTTAAGGCTAAATGCCATGAAAACAGTCCGGTGCAACCATCTTTAACTACAAAAGTTGTAATCACATTAATAGGATTTCTATTACAGATATCAAGCTCATCACATCCTTTATAAATCATTTAATTAAATAATTGATTAGCTATTGATAATTAATGGCCAATGATATTTGATTAATACCTAATTGCCGATGTATATTAATGTAGGAATTAAAATACTTTGATAATTCTATTGCTAAGATTCGATTACAGAAATGAAGCACGGTTCATCATAGCAGTAGCACACATTATATTCTACTTTTTTAAAAATGAATTAAAGTGGATACTGAATGCTGGAGGCATAGAATTATGAAAGGTCAAGGTGAATTCAATGTTAACCGCTATTCTATTTATTTCATTTTGCTAGCTTGTCATTCTAGATCGTTGCAATTGCTAAGGCTATCGGGATAATGTATCAAGTGATTGAAAAGTCTGCGAGTAGATATTTAAACATTTATTTAATAATTTTAACGTCATGTACTACATCGATCTAGCGCCTCAGATAAAAAAATTTCCGCCTAGTCGTTAAAATAGTAAGATTTTTGTTATCATAGTTACTAATCCTTAAATATTACATTAAGAGTCATCTGGAAAATCCACAATTTCCTGAAAACAACGAAACTTATTTATAGATATGCTCAATTGCTATTGGTGATCTTTACCATGTATCCATAATGCCAATTGCTACTACTGTAAGTTACAGGAATTACATTATACGAAGATTACTTTAAATGTCTAAGATTCTTGAAACAGACAGTCGAACAGATTTTGGACGCATAATTACAAAATCAAGGTACATTTTTTGTTATTCCAATATAGCCCTACGAACCATGGTGGCATGGGTACATGTCCACATCGCATGCAGTATGTGGAATGGTCCAAGGTCTTGTAAGTACAGTATAGTTAAAAAATCAATCATATAAATTTTTAGGGGAGTATGATGTGAATACTAGAATGCAACCTGTTTGCATTACAGATACACACATACAGATAACACTATTTTAATATCACATAAGGTAGAATATGTGTTTGTGCATACAATTCTACAGTAACGTATTTATGGTATCGTTGGTTTTATTTCCAAGGAGTCGGTGACTTCTTTCCATGATTCCGCTAATTTCTGATGGTAGTTATCCAACTACGTAAACAGGAGAAAAAAGTAAGTAAAATATCTGCCTAAGGATAGTACGTTATTGGTAGAAAAAATTTGTACAATAGCAAACATTTTCAAAACGTTACCTCTTGTAGCAAAAGTTCATAAGTATCCTCAGCTTTCTTGATTTTACCAGCATGCTCATTTCTCGATTTTTCAATTTCTGCTTTAATAGCATCCATTTCATGAGATAGCTCCATTGCTTGTTCATTGTCTTCATGCCTTTTCTTTTGAAAGTCAGCAAGCTCCCTGCAATGAAACGTGTAAGTTACTTATTACTGGCCAAGTTAGAATGGTTGAAATAGAGGATAATCTCAAGTGGCTGATACAAAATTCGGACGATATGTAGACCATGTTACTTACCTTTGCTTTTCTTCGAGTAATTTTTCAACTTGGTTTAATTTAGTTTTGTTTTGCGATCTTACAGTAGCCAGTGTGTCTCGTTTTGATTGCAATTCTCGTTCTAAATTCTGTAAGAAAAAAAATTGTTGAATGTTTCAAATTACATATGTATACATAAATACATTTATCATGAATTATATACTATTGAGTCACTTTTTCTAAAAAGTGTACTACCTGGACGTTGAGATTTAGTTCACGCAATGCTTCAGTCTTTTCTATTCGTAAATCAACGACTGCCTCATACTCTCGGACATTCTCGCTATGGCAGTGTAAAGTAGGATTACAATTACTTTTCAAGTGATAATGCGATATAAATTATTATTTAATGGCTCTTGTTACCGGTATCGATCCATTTCGGTAAGTGTACTTTTACATAAGGTAGTTAGTTCATCGCATGCCTATGTTGAAAATGACAGTCAAAAGGCGCATTTCAAAAGAAATTACATTACAAACTCTGTTCGTGTACCTCTGTGCAGTCAGACAATTTATTAATTTTTTCAACATTCTCTTCATTTTTGATTCGTTTATCTTCTATTTCTTTTCTACAGTCATCTATGCGTGTTGTCAAGCTGGCTAAAGTCTAATATTAATAAAACATGAAATGAAAGAATAACAATTTATTCTATCTATCTAAATAGTAATGATAATTTAGAGTTAAATTGGAATGATTTGGTTCTGCACTAAAAACTTACGCTTTGCAATCTTTCTGGAGAAGCAACAATTCGCTGATTAAGTTTCTCTACATTTTTGTCCAATTCTGCTTTGTTTTTTCTGAATTTTATCTGTAAGATGAATACAACATTATTTGCCATCAATTTCACTTTTTTCTGTTGAATTATAATAAAAATTGTCTAATTAAAGGAGTTACCAAATGATTTTCATTTTCTGAAGTCTTGATTTTTAGGTTGCTCATTTCCTGGTTGAGATTTTGCTGTCATTAAAAGCAACGACCAATGCAATCAGTACAGGAATAACAACGATATAAATCCGTTCAATTAATTGATTTAATGGTTATTTGGATATGATGACAAGATTGTCTTTGTACAAATTATTATTTTTGATAGCATCCATTATTTTTTGTACCTGCTGCTCATCAAATCGACTCAATTCGTTTTCTAAATTTTCAACTTGAGGTAATAGCTATAATAAGTACATTGAAATATTTCCAAATGATTAGTTATCTTTTGTAAGCGATTTCGAATTAGTCGTACGAGATAGAGAGCGCTAAAATGCGAAGGCATACATCTTTCATTTTTATATCCTCCATGGCCTTTTTGGCTCTAAAATGATATAAATGCGAAATGATTTATCGTACATGATAATTGCAACAATTGACATTAAATGAATGAAGAGAGATTCGTAAGAAAGATGTACTTTAGATTAGTGATTTTTTGATCTAATTCTTGGCTTTTGACTCGCAATTGCTGGTGTTGGTTGTTTAATGATTCCTGTATTTAAGCAAGATTGTTAATATCTGTATGCTGTCAATTTTAATACCTGGAAAAAGTTTACAAAAATATATTGATCGATACTTACAGCTACTGATGCGCTTTCTTCGAAAATGTGTATTTGAGAATCGACGAATCGTTGAAAGTTGATTAAAGCACTGCAATGATGATACAAGGTAGATAAAGAGTCAATCTACGCGTTATTCTCGGATAATTGTGTAAGCAAGTTGTTTAATCATTAAAATTTCGTTTATCATTGAGTTACTAGGGTTCTATTTTATTCATAGACTGCACTTGAATTAGGCATAATCAATTTATTGCTATAATTTGATAGAGTATACAAAGTGTATTTTTAATGTAAACTATTGATACGACGTAGGATACAGTCAATAATATTGAGCTATAGTAATGGAATAGTCTATTTCAATGCAATGTGACCTCAAGGAGTATGGATAATTTCAATGGAAAATGAACTGCTTTAAAGGATGTCTCGGTATTCTATGAAAAATTATATTGCAGTTACCTCAAATTGCGGATGGTTTTCTTTCTTGCTGTAAAAGATACATAATTACATTGGTATTATTAGTATGAGCACATTTTGTATTGCAAAGGCTATTACTACCGGTAGCATGCCTGGCTATTAGCTGTTGTCCAAATTAATAAGTTTAAATAATTTACTTTTCACTACATCATTACAATTAATTCATGATTCTCATTCTACCTCATAGGTACATTAAAATTTTTAAGCCTACTGGTTACGATTATTAATAACTCATTTATTAGTTCTTTCTACTTACCTGGTGAAAGTATATCGTCCAAGTTAACACCATTAACACCAGAGTCTTTTAGTACTTTGGATCTTTATCGTGATTGAAAGTAAATTATTTAGATTCCTATTAATACAGTACTATCCATTTCTGTCTGAATTGATATGATTGATTATTGATACATTACAAGTAACTAAGATCTTGCAAGACTTGAAGACCTTGCACTGTATTGGATGGATGCTTCCTATTACTAATGCATGAAAAGGATACATTGATAATTCTACTTACAGCACCATTGAGAAGACCACTACAGATAAAGGTTCTTGTATCGAATCAGCAAATTGGCAGTTTTCTAACGCCGCAAAACGTGGCTACACAACAATTATAATTATGAGATTGCAAAGAGTCCAAATATCAGTTGAACTCGTAGACTGCATTGTCGTAGACTAGCATGTTGAAGATCAGCTAACTCACCTGGTAATTGCCATCGAATCCTGTTAAACTTTCCATGAATACAGCATATAATTTCTTGACATTTCTTGTCTACAAAAGTGGAATACAAGAACATAATGTATAGTTTCTGAATAGTTTTTGTCTACATAGATATCTTGACATTTCTTGTCAACAAAAGTGGAATACAAGAACATGATGTCTAGTTTCTGAATAGTTTTTGTCTACATTGATATCTTGACATTTCTTGTCAATAAAAGTGGAATACAAGAATATGATGTCTAGTTTCTGAATAGTTTTTGTCTACATTGATATCTTGATATTTCTTGTCTACAAAAAACGGAATACAACAACATGATGTCTAGTTTCTGAATAGTTTTTGTCTACATTGATAGCATTTTCTCTTCTACATTTGGCGGAATACGTGTAAAAGAATACAGGTCCAGTGTCCCTTTCTAAGTATTTTTTTTGTCTACAAGCGGCACCTGTAGAGCACAAGATTCTACTATATCATTGATCAAAATTTGTTGTTTACACCAGTGGAATAGATGAATACATTTCTCGACCGTAGAAGGTGCTATCCAAGATCCTAACTGTATCATTGGTGAATATTGGTAGTCTACAGTTGTGGTGAAATGATGGGATACAGTGTTGCTTTTTCTGAACCTTTCTTAATACTAGGTGATAGAAAACTACATCATGGGTGAACATTTTATATGGCGAAAGCGGAGAAATAGAAGACTGCAGTATCACGAAATGCTGGTCTCTAGTATGGAATGCAAAGAATATAGCGTTCAGTTTGTGAGCAATCCTCTAGCAAGGTATTTGTTAATGCTTGAGCTTGGTTGAAATTTGCAAACGTCAAGAATAAGCCAACAGTACTGTGTAGACCGATCTCGATGCGTCTATTTTTTTCGAGTCTAACTTGATTGCGTGATGAGAAAGCAAGCTTTTAGCGTTACTAAACGATGGGATAAGGACAATGAAGTCAATTTTCAATCTATCCATGTTACGATATCATTAGTCTACGAGAGCAGGGAGTATTTTATAATCTATTAACTAGATTTAGTGATTTATTTTTTAGACAAAAATTATCAAGGTCATTCTACCAGTAGTCCGTCTACTCTTTTCAATGACTGAAGTTTTAGCGTTACTAAAGTATTGGATAAGGACAACCAAGCTAATTATGAATTTGTCTACTTTATTCTACTCGTATAATAAGTAAAGTAGAATGATCAGTATTATAGCATGCATTCACTGGATTTACTTAAAGCAAAAACTTAGATTTACTTAATCCATTCATTAGATTGACTAATTGATTTGATAACAATCGTCAAGCTGATTGGGATCCGTCGACTTATTTCAATGACTGTCGATCCAGGGGTATTTTTTCAGGCTTCTAATGTAGTCTTGCTTTACTAAGCTATAGAATAAGGACAATTCTTTTAAACTAATTTGGAATCATCTATGCAGTTATACTGTATAATAAGTAAATTACATCGAGCAGTATTGTATAATCCACTAAGTAGATTTACTGATTTATTGGACAACAGTCATCAAGCTGATTTAAATCCCTCTACTCTATTCAACGATTGTCGATCGAGCGGTATTCTTCCATGCTTTGAAGTCAGATCGTAAGTTTTAGCGTTACTAAAGTATTGGATAAGGATAACCAAACTAATTTTGAATTTCTGTATGCTGTTGTATACTCAATCAATCCGATGGAGAAGTAGTTTATGATCCCTGAACTAGATTTACTGATCGATTGGACGAGCATCGCCAAGTCGATTTGAATAGGTCATAACTGTCGATCGAACGCTATCTTGCCATGCTTTAAAGTAAGATCGTAAGCTATCGCGTTAATAAACGAATAAATAAGGACAACCAAGCTAATTTTGAATCTCTCTATGCTGTTGTATAATCAGTCAATCAGATGGAGCAGTAGTTTATGATCCCTGAACTAGATTTACTGATCGATTGGACAAGCATCGCCAAGCTGATTTGAATGAGTCATAACTGTCGATCGAGCGGTACTTTGCCTTGGTTTGAAGTAAGATCGCAAGCTATCGTGTTACTAAACGAATGGATAAGAACAGCCAAACTAATTTTGAATCTCTCTATGCTGTTGTATACTTAATCAATCCGATGGAGTAGTAGTTTATGATCCCTGAACTAGATTTACTGATCGATTGGACAAGCATCGCCAAGCTGATTTGAATAGGTCATGACTGTCGATCGAACGCTATTTTGCCATGCTTTAAAGTAAGATCGTAAGCTATCGCGTTATTAAACGAATGGGTAAGGACAGCCAAGCTAGTTTTGAATCTCTCTATGCTGTTATATAGTCAATAAATTAGATGGAACAGTAGTCTATGATCCCTGAACTAGATTTACTGATCGATTGGACAACCATCGCTAAGCTGATTTGAATAGGTCGACTCCCTCAATGATTGTCGATCGGGCGGTACTTTGCCATGGTTAGAAGTAAGATCGCAAGCTATCGCGTTACTAAACGAATGGATAAGGACAGCCAAGCTAGTTTTGAATCTCTCTATGCTGTTATATAGTCAATAAATTAGATGGAGCAGTAGTTTATGATCCCTGAACTAGATTTACTGATCGATTGGACAAGCATCGCCAAGCTGATTTGAATGGGTCATCACTGTCGATCGAACGCTAGTTTGCCATAGTTTGAAGTAAGATCGCAAGCTATCGTGTTACTAAACGAATGGATAAGGACAGCCAAGCTAGTTTTGAATCTCTCTATGCTGTTATATAGTCAATAAATTAGATGGAGCAGTAGTCTATGATCCCTGAACTAGATTTACTGATCGATTGGACAAGCATCGCCAAGCTGATTTGAATGGGTCATCACTGTCGATCGAACGCTAGTTTGCCATAGTTTGAAGTAAGATCGCAAGCTATCGTGTTACTAAACGAATGGATAAGGACAGCCAAGCTAGTTTTGAATCTCTCTATGCTGTTATATAGTCAATAAATTAGATGGAGCAGTAGTCTATGATCCCTGAACTAGATTTACTGATCGATTGGACAAGCATCGCCAAGCTGATTTGAATGGGTCATCACTGTCGATCGAACGCTAGTTTGCCATAGTTTGAAGTAAGATCGTAAGCTATCGCGTTACTAAACGAATGGATAAGGACAACCGAGCTAATTTTGAATGTATTCTAGGCGTTTAGGGGATGCAGTCCTACTTTCTACTCGACTAACTAGGATCGATTGGCTTCAATTGGGTAGTATTTTGTGGGATAGAAGAGGCTTACCTGAGGTTTGTTGATATCATCCGCAGTAACATAGGCAATGTTTGGAAAGCGTTGCTTGATAAAATTGACAATATCTGCTACACTGAGAATTGGAAAAGCATACGAAGACGCTGCTACAGTGGTCATGATGGCGTTAAGCTGTCTTAGCACAGAGAACAGTGGTTAAAATGGCTAATTTAGACGAGTTTAGGCCTGGATTAGCAAAGTAAATCGAGCAAGATGGATGCCCAATCGAGGAAATAAGCGGCAGATCGATTGGACCTCATACCAACATCAGTCCAATGCCTGAAACATGAGTCGTTTTCGACACGATTTAACTGCCAACTTGGCGATACGATGCGTTACGCTATACAGAATAAAATACGATCCCAAGCGACTATACTAAACCTAGTTGATCGATCAACAGTATGGAACAGTCTACTCGACGCTTAACAGCAGCTTGGAGCAGATGTTTCCTGCCGCCTCGGCTATTGTTGTCTCAAATTCAAATCTTGACGTCATAAAATGGAGGCTTGTGATTGGTCCAAACCACTTGTGCCTACTGTACGGGGGAAGTATGCTAGACATCGCTATTGGATAGGACAATCGTTATGGCAATCGATTTGGTTTCCAGCTGATGGTAGTGGAGTATCTTGCATCGTATATACACGTCGATTGTATACTGCTTTTACTATGGTAGCTGAAATACAACGGCATTGGGTGTGGACGAGATAGATTGTGATGCTACGCTTGGTGTAGGCATGCAAAACAACGGATGCTTGAGTCGAGTTAGTACTGCATCAGAGCGGCTACATGCTGACTAGGATAGCCATGACTAGGCTGACTCACTCGGTCCTTGCAGGCCTTGGACTGATTGATTCGACTACGCTTGCAGCTCTATTTTGCTACAAGTATCACCTCCAATTTACTCTTGTTATCAGCTTATTGATACAATGAATTCAAGCAATTGCTGAGTAAGTACTGATCTATACTAATGCAATTAATGCGATTGCGGCAGCTTCCTTCTACTTCTTCGGTCCTTGCAGGCCTTGGACTGATTGATTCGACTACGCTTGCAGCTCTATTTTGCTACAAGTATCACCTCCAATTTACTCTTGTTATCAGCTTATTGATACAATGAATTCAAGCAATTGCTGAGTAAGTACTGATCTATATGCATTTGATGCGATTGCGGTAACTTCCTTCTGCTCTAGCGCCTAGACTGCCTAGTGCATCGTGCAGTAAACTTGTAGAAGAAGAAGCATTCTGTTGTCATGGCCTGCACGCTGCACATTGCACAAGCTGTACGCTACTGCTGCTCAAAATTCTCGTATACGAGTCTAGACTGACAAGCTGCATAGCACATGTAGATCGAGTAAAAACATGGACGTGATAATGAATAATATGAAGGCTCTCCTCGACTCCAGCGAGGTCTGTTGCCTCGATTGAAAATAATTATACGATTGTCTGGCTTAGGACTCCATTGAGCTCCAGCTAGAACGATTGGATGCAATCAGACCTTAATACTGTATGCTATATTACTACACAGAGTAGACTCCAGCTTATAGTCTCTTGACGTATTTACTTTCTTCTGATAGACAGCCATAGTTTACGGTGCTATGCTTTCGTAGGTAGACTACTCGGTCGAAAGTGACGGGTATTCTGAGCACACTCAGAAGGAAACTGCTAACATGGGATACCCCAGGTTGACTCCCATTTCTTATACAAAAGCCTATACACTGTAATACCAAACCAGACACTGTACAGCCTTGGAAAACACTTCCCACTGTCCGAACGTCCGTCAACCCATCTACTACCGACGGACAGACTGTCATTCCTTGATAGACTCTCTTCTTCGTCATCGATTAAGAGAATCAGAATATTGCCGGACATTAATCCCTGGCCAGCGGTTATATCCAAGTTTTAATTTATTTCTTGCCATCTTGATTGATAAAGGAAGCAATCTTATTGGCAATGGGTAATGTAGAATCGAATTCTGGAGAAGACAGTAACGAAAGCGACGAGCTGTTGGATGAATCGGACACTGAGGTAAGACGGAAAGTTAGCGTCTAGTCGGCTTGACATTTGATAGGGTTTACTCGCATTCAGCCTGTTCAGTCATGACGTTAGACTAGCGACATGGTTGGACAGCTGAGTCATACGTCCAATCCGACTCCTAATGGCCAAAGCTTGATGCAAAGTTATCCATTTCTTGTTCGCTACCATCAAGATTGGCATAGTTTGCATCGAGTGGCCAAGATGGATTTATGCCATAGGTAGACTTGAAGTATGACCAAGTCGATCTATCATGATGCAAACTTGATGCACTACTCTTTGACAGCAATCGAGCAGACTTGCAGTATCATGCAGCCATCATCAACATGGCTCGGATTGCCAACATAGTATTGTTATTATTTTTCTATCAGCAATCCTTTTGGACATAACATTTCAATCATTTCCATCCATTTCTATCGATCTTAAGCAATGGATCGACAACGAATGATGATGATTTCCTTGGATAGAGTTTATTGATTCCTGATGATTGAAATGCATCGTCATCGTCGCTGAATTCGCCTACTTGAGCGATGATGATCAACCCGATCGCGTCCTTCTTGCTGCTTGATCATTGCGATCGAATGGAAAATGCCATCCATGATCTTGTCTAGGCCATAGCTTTCTTAATCAAGACAAGTTTTATTGCCATGATGGAGTAGTAGAAATCGATCCATCATTGTCATAAGATTCCGCTCGTGCTTATGGCGATCGGGATAACTTCTTGTCTTGGATTTACGCCAACCCTGAGCCGGTAGATATCTATCCTAGCAGGGCTTACAGGGATTCCCATCGCTCCCCCAAAATAAACACTCCAAAACATGTCCAATCTCCATCGAGAGCCGATGATTGATTTCCAACTTCAATACTACCCACGATAATGCCATTAAACTAGTCGAAATGGTCGTTTTCGTCTCTATTTCCTAACAACGGCAACAAGGGTCTTGACCATGTTCATTAGATCACTGTAGATTACTTTCTAATACCCCGTTATTAATGTAGACGAATACCTTCCAACTTTGGACATGATCAGTCTAAGAACTCTTCTGAAATCGATCTTCAACTCCATTTGCTATGCGTACTTGGCATAACATGATGTCTTTTCAACGCAATTCTATTCTGCCATCGATCATGATTCCAACTGAATTACGATATCGTTCAGATCCAAATGCGAACAAGTTCTTGACAATGTTCATTCTTTATTGCAAAAGAGGCTTATTTATTTACCTTTCAAAGGACTTGATCTACTCGACGAAATGAAAGATGCATTTGAATCAACCTTTTCCATATGTAGTACCACAAACATACACATGAAAGCAGTTTAGCCTGCAATCGATAAAGCTGTTGATTTCAACTTGAATACTATACGGGTATATTCTACAATTCAAGGTTACCGTTGGGAGCAATGTTTTTTCTTAATATCGAACCTGCAATCGATGAGCTCCAGTTGATTTTCAACCAGTCTACTATACTGAACGACTGGATTAAAGTTGGACAAGGTTGCAGTTTGCAGCCATATTTTCTTACTGTTTTTTCATATCTAGCCTGCAATGAATTGGCAGGTTGAATGAATTTTCAACTTGAAGACGACGATACTCTTATACTGATTGGATTGTGCAAGGTTCCAGTTGCCAGCAATACTTCTCTTTATTCATGAATGCCTAGTCGGCGATCGATAGTTTGCTAGAATTGATTTCGATTGGAATACTACAGTTTACTATACGATTGGATTCTACTAAGTAGAAGAATAATTGATGTGCATTTTCGACGTGATTCTAGCAACCAAAATAAACTACTGTAAACGTGGAAACCAGTCGGTAGATTGTTCTAGTTGACATCAACATGGCCCACTACCATCGGATTAAACTACGCGTACAAAATGGATTCTCCTTTCTACTCATGTTTTTCGAATAACCTTGACCGGGTGGGGGTCTTCTTTTACGGTTCCATTGGACAAGGATTCTGAAAGGAAAGGGAGTTATTCTACTCGACGAGGATTGATAAAGGCATCTAGAATTCTAGATTGCTCTATTTTTCTACGTGTATTGCGCCAAGAATGATCATGATTTAAAAATGGCTAAAAAAATCCCGCCTGCAATCAATAATCCCTTACTGCCGGCTGAAACGGGAATAGGATTGAACTAGACAATATTGTAGTTTCCATCTTGTCCCTAGTAAGCCTTGAGTGAGATCTTGACCTTGTCCACCCTACTCCTTTCCAAAAGCATTGCTTTTAGACGCCCTATTCACCCTAATTTACGAGGATAGAATTACTTGTTCAACGATTGTGCATTCGAGTTTAGATCGCTATTTTATCGCCATCTCCATGTCGACATGTCGACATGGAGGACGACAACAATAAAAACAAATACTAAAAACATGCCGATTCTGCCTTTCGATCGTCAGTAATTGCCGATTGGAACCGTGGAAAATGATCGTTTGGACTTTTGATCTTACGAGTATTTCCACGATGACGAGAGTCTTGATCATGTCTATTCTACTCCAACGGGACATTTTGCGCTTGTTTACTTGCCTTGGCGTTGTGATTGTACTTGTTTAACTTGTAGAACACATCGATTACATAGACGAATAGAAATGATCAAGGATAGCTTGACTATTTCTTCTTGTTTACTCAATTTTTCCCTTGTCAAAATGGTACAGTCGAATTTAGGTCTATTAATAATATAGGAAATGATATTGAAATAATCAAGGATAGCTGATATATTAGTGGATATATTCTGATCATTCCCAGCAAGACTTTCATACAACTCAGCCGTGAAAAGAAGTTGGTAGTGTTGTATTTATTTTTTAGCCAACTTTGATTGATGATTGGGTATATTCTGATCATTGCTAGTAATAAGACGCCTAGAGTTTTGTCATGCACAGAGTAGAAATGATTTACTGGACCTATTGGTGTAAACTTATGATTCAATTTTACGGATAGCATCGCAATTTTAAGGGAATAATACTTTATGGAGCCAACTCTGATAGATGAATGACTATATTCTCATCATTCCTAGTAAGACTTGCTAGAGTTGTGTGGTAAAGAAAGTAGAAATGATAGAGTGGACATGTTCCACGGATAACACCATAATTTGAAGGGGAATACAGTAGTATTTTTTGGCAGTCAATTCTGAATGATGAATGAGTATCTTCTGATCATTGCAAGTAAGACTTGCTAGAGTTATGTCATAAAGAAAGTAGAAATGATAGACTGGACAAATGGACATGTTGGTATGAAATTATCATTGAAGTAGATAACACCGCTCTTCCAGCTTAGTAGTATTTTATTTACAGAGAGTAAACTCTTCGTAAATTATACTACGAATCAATTCATCCTCTTGATAACCATTCCAATAGTAAAGCTTGGATATTACAGCATGGATAAACTACATAGATCGTCATTTTGCAATTTTTCCCGTTGCCAATCCATACATAGTAGAACATGGATTCAGGCATCTCAATCACGTTGGACTGTGTCCATCGGTGATTGGGGCCTAGTTACTTTCCAAGAATATCAATGACTCCATCACCATCAAATAACTTGGATTAGTTAGCTTATGGCATGGATTACTAGAAAAAAAATCGTGTCGTTTTTCTAGTAGTCCATGCTTTGTCATCATTTCTAATTCAACTGGATTAAATCATGGAAAAAAAGAGCTCCAAAAAGTCGCTTGATTATGTCTGTCTATCGTTGGTAGGGATCTGGATACTTTCTGATCAATTTCTTCATCATCATGAAATCAATTAAATTCATTAATTTATGCTATAAAAGTGATTGGACCATGTCACCGTTGATTGGGGCCACGGTACTTTGCAATAAACTCCATCACAATGAAATCAATAGAATTAAATGATTTGTAGTCATTCTTGATTTAACTGGATAAAATGATAAATACACTAGCTTTAAATTTCGTTTCATTGTGTCTATCTTGGATTGGGCCCAAGAGTACTTTTAACTAAATTACCCCATCATAATAAAATAAATTGGATTAATTAACTTGTGGTCAATCCTGATTAAACTGGATTACATAATAGAAGAATCGCCAATCCACTCTTCACTAGGACTTGAATCATGGCAGAATTATTTATCCAAACACCTTTATTATCGTTCAAGTCTTAGGCAAGGAGAAATTCTATTTCATATCATTTGTAATACAAACAACTTGTACAAGTCCTACATACAGTACTACAGGTTAGGAAACCCCATTTATCCACGATTGGTATGCATCGTCTTAACCTTCTTCTACCCTATCATTAACCAATGTAGACCATTCCATGCAACTCTATTTGTCGTCTTAAACAAGGGAATATGTTACAAAGACCGTGTTGAAAGATTTACCCTTAATAACTCACTGCCACTTCATGTGTTGATTGCAATATATAAATATATATATACATAGACTATGACAGGATATTGTAGACTTTGACTCTACAGAGTTTTACATCTATTCCCTTCGTGCTGTTGAATTTTCAACTTGATAACCCAGAGAGTATTGATGAGCAACAGAAAAGTATTCTTCCTCCATGTTATGTAATGTTCGTAACTTGTAATAGATTATCTTGTTATTTCAGACAGTAGTTCAAGATTATCCAGACTTGAAGGCAATAAAACATATTACATTCGTTACATTATGCTCTAAGCTGTTATGGTTTCGTCTTAAATTGCTTACAGTTAATAAAGTGATCCCTCTATCGATTGAGATAGTAGTACTGTTTTCGATATTCTAGCAGCCATTTTGACTTAGCAAACTAGTAGATTGCTTACGGTAGATAATGATTGAGTCATATGCTTATCGTAATAGACTGCATGAATTAATGCACAGAATGGATATGAATCTGTAATTGCTTTTTCTCCATTTTAGAACACTGAACTTGTAAATAATGAAGAAATTTGTGATCTTTTTAATCTAGAAAGTTTACGAAAATTTGTAACATCGTAAGTGATTGCAATGGTAACAGTAATAAATGTGGAAATTAAGAATGATAGTAATAGAATCTTAACGTACTACTATATGTCAATGAAAGTGAATGCTATAATAAATGTAATAGATAGAAATAGAAAACGACATGAAATTAAACTGAATATACAATAGAATATCAGAAATGCAAACAGAAAGGATCATAGTCCATTCTGTTATAAATTTCGTCTAGTGTCTCCGTCATCGCACCGTAATAAACATTTATAATTGTAGTTAATTTAATCTACTTTGATTGACTAATTAATTCTCGAAATTAAAATTGGCGTATTATTCACTGTCTTACATAGCAGCGATAAAGTAGAATTATCCATTAGCGATGTTTTATCAACAACGATAGCATGGCTTGAAGATAGAGCAGAAAGGCGTGAGGTATATCATGGATAGATGCCAATATGACGTTTAAAATTGATCTTGGATTTATTTACAGTATACAGTATAGCATAAATAGTCGTAAATTTTATTCGCAATATATAGATATACAAGTATAACCTTGTTGGTTCAAATACTTTTATAAATAGCAAAGGCAATGGGTGGGCAATATTACTTGTATAGTTGTAACAATTTGCAGATAGAATTTTTTTGATCATTCTATTTGAATGACTTTGTAGACAAAGATGCTTCCTTGCCTTGATATCATCGCCATTCCATTTTTATACGTTGACTTGCAATTAAAACATGCATGTATCAAAAAAAATTGCAGCCATGTAGGATAAGTGCAAAGTCTTGATGGGAGTGATAGAAGATTAAGCTTATCTACCGTATCCCTTAATAGCAATGACTACTACCGTACATTACGCACTGACTACTGTATCTATGGCTAGTCTGTAAAATTGAATGAATATTCTGTAAGCTTAGTTGGCAACATACTTTACTTTAATTAAATAGTCTGGCAACACACATTTACCAGTATATATAGTATGATGAGCAAAGACCTATTGGCCTGTGTCGTAGTAAAGCGGACAATTAGAGGAGATACTTCTATAACAATCTGTTTTGTTACCCTGTTTAGAATTCTGTCACCAAATTTCAATTTATCAATTTTTTGGAATCTCATGGACTTACTGCAGAGAAAGGTGCTGAGGTAAGTTTCAGTAGCCTCAATGTAGAATTGATAAAAGCAAGATTCGAATACGAACGCTTTTAATAATAAAAGTCGACGTGTTATTATTACAGGCTTTCGATCAGCTCGATATTGAAGGTCAAGGTATCATAAATAGTAAAGACTTTATGGAGGTTAGTCTGTGACTAATATCAGAACCAGCTAAAATTACTGCTCCTATAGTATAACTCATTAGTCAAAGTTTCTAGATCTAATTAACAGATATGTTTATCCACATTTCCATCTATACTGAAATAGCTTTTCAAGCAGCGCTTTCGCTCACAAAATGATGAATTAAATGGAAGCAATTACATGTTTACAACGTGTCCGCTGACACCTGGTAAGTTACATTACAGTTAATGAAATAAAAGTTATAAAAATGCATTTTTCTGAGCGTGTTATAGTCAATGCGAAAGGAAATATGCGTTGCTTTTTAATATCTTTGTTATTGACTTGCTTTATTGATTATTTGTAAGGTCGTGTTAATGCTCTTACCAATGAAGGAAAGAGAAAAGATTTATATCGGTCATTGATGAAGGTGAGAGCATATTTGCTTTTCGTTACAAATATTTATTCTTCAACACGGTATATACCGTATATGTGTGTCTCACATAAACTTTCTAATAAAGTACTTCTTCATTCTAGTATATCATAAATAATCAAATTTCGGCTACCTCAGTTCCATTTCCTCCCTTAAACTATATCAATGATTCCTTCGCATTACGTGATAAAGCTATCGCAAAAATTATGGGTGAAATGAGTTTAAAAGGTATCTAGAGTAGGAAATGCGATGTAGTAGTGCTTTTGTTCTATCGATAGCAAATAATGATGTAGTGGATTGGTTTTAATTTAGAAATAAATATCTGGTATAACTTGATTACATTTTAGTTGCAAGTACTACCTACGATGATAGCGGGGAGAAACAAATACGAACACTATGTTTAAAATGTCATCAAAAATTGGAGGTGTCATCAAACAGTGATACGTTGAATAAGTAAGTACGAGTATATATAATATCCCTTTATTTCTCTTACCATGACCAAATTTCTTGCTGCCCTTTGCATCTTATTATCTTTGTCCTGTTGATATAGCCTCTTGGATGGAAATTTTCACACTTGTTGGCAATCGGATGGTATTACAGGAACACATTGGATAAGGTAAAGGAACTTATTAGAATACTATCGGTTTATGCATCTACACACGTTTTACTTGGAATTGAAAATCTATTTACTATCCTCTTTAAAATTTTTATATATTTAGGCTAAGTATCAAACCGGATGTTGAATTAACAGAGCTCAGTATCTATGTTGTTCCAGTAGACCAAAGTTATATGCCCAAACAAGTTTCTGTTTCTGCTGGATTTGATGCTGACTCTGTTAATATCGTGTCTACAGTAACTATTCCAAAGTACGAAATATAGATTAATTTACAAGTATTGCCTTTCATTTGGTATACTTTTAAAACATTTCTGTGCTTAGCTAGCTAGTCCAGCCCTTATTTACTTTAAGATTTACTTTAAGATTTACTTTAATAAGCAATGAAAAAGTGACACCCTCTTAGCCCTTGGGTGTAGTTACATCTTCTTGTCCAGCTATTACTGATCGTGATCAATCCTACGTTTGAAGTTAAATATTACATTTACTTCGTGTCAATATCATTTATCTAGTTCTCATCATGGCTATTTCAAAGTCTATGAAAGACATAGTAACACTTCATATACAGGTACAACATGATTTCCCATTACAAGTTAAACGATTTAGCATTTAGGCTATTCAAATTTACTCGATTTATTGTATTATGTTCCTACTCAAAACTTTACAGTTTTTCAAATAAACATTCAACGTTGCCATAGTGGAGGCTGTGATACCCGAATTCGTGGTATCAAAACGATTGGCTATCGGTAAGTACTATGACATTACCACTACAGCCTTTAATTAAACTGTAACAGCATACGAATTTTGTTTTAGATATGCTAAACCGGCACCTGAGCTCAATATTGTATCTAGCTCTATTACTTGGTTGCTTTCTATCGTTACTGAAACTGTTAAAGCGGCATTACCTGTATCTCCTAGCTTGAAGAAAGCTCTACTTAATCATGCAAAGTAACTGCTAATCCTATATTTTATAGCAATGTTCGATATAATTAATGAAATGATGATTCTATTTTACCGTTAATGGATAGAATCGCACTGAGAGATTTTAAGCCATTGTGTTTATCTACAACACAAAATCTTATCAAATACTTGAGCAACAGGACTCAAGAATCGATAGAAAATTTTCTGTATGCACTAATAGAGTAAGTTGTGAGCCATCTTTTTGGGCATTATTAATAAGCACGTGTTAATGTTCGAATGTAACATGTTTATTTATTTTTGCTAATTTGAAGTCTCGTATCTCATTTATGAGTTATTAAGATGAAATGCTAACTGGTCTGATTATTTACCTCAATTCATATCTTTAAATATTGTTTTAGCGATAATGATCCAAATACAAAGGCTGAAGTATTAGAATGTTTTCTGACGCTTTCATTGGCTACTGCGGATTTAGGAAGCATTATACGTGCATTAAATTTGTTAGTGGGTAAGTGATTAACAAGGATTTGGGTAAACTATCTCTGCTTTATCATGCTAATCTAATACTAAGTTGAAGTTAAAAATTTAACATTAGATAATTCAGAAACTAAATTAAAGTGCCGAGAATTACTGGTGTCAATGTATGCTGAATATTACAAGTTGCTTCGTAGCTCAAGTAGGTTTGATGTTGATAACATTATATTTCATGGGCTATATTCCTTTATTTTATTTATCAAACTGACCTATAAATTGATTTCCTTCTAATGAAAAATTAATAATTATCCTTTTAGTTACAATTTCTTTTTGTTAAGAATGCGTTGCTAATTCACTTTATACAATATTGAAATGCGATGAATTCTTGTATTAATGAAGAAAAGAGTTGAGTCGTTGTAATAACTTTAATTGTAAATAAAAAATAGGAGATGCCTTGGATATATCTTTATTTTATTGTGATGTCCAAGCGAAAGATGATCAAAATTTAGCGGATACTGTTCTGCAAGATAGTGGAAGTAAGCTTGACAATCATTGATCTTTTTCTAGCATTGTCTACTCAATAATTATGATCCATACTTGTATACTGATAGCAATCATTTTATAAATTATCATGTAGCTTTTTCTACTGCTACGGGAGAAAAGAAAGCGACACTGGTTTTTACTTGTAAAAAAGAAGCACATGTACTGCAGCTAACTGCTCTTAAATTTAAGGTTTACATAAAAGTTATTGGAATTTTCTTTTTACAGTAGTATTCTAATCAGTACTACATTTCTAATTTTTGTTCTTTTATTGACGTTATTATCCTAGACTGCCAAAGGGTCTACTTGTCCAAAGTATTGCTTAGTGTTTGTAATCAACGATAATAGGTAAGCCGGTTCAATTTTAAAATGTACTGAGAATCAAATTTTAAGGCATAATTAACTTACCGCATAATTTCTTTTTACTGAAGGAATGATAGCTCTTTCTGTCTAAAGTCATTACTCAATGATCTAAAAAAATACGATGATATGACAACGGAACAATACGAGAAGATGATACATGATAGGTTAGCAGTTAAGAATTCTATTCCATTGTGATCTATAGCATAATTCTTGATTTAAACAATCATATAAAAATATTATGATATTGCTGTTATAGAAGAACGAAATCGCCCTATGATAAAAGTAACCTAAATCCGGTTGTTTGTATGGATTTTATGTCCGATAGGTATTTGAATATTTTCTCTAACGTAGTATTAATGGATAGGGTTTTTATTCGGGTACTATGATCCATGCTTTCGAATAGATATGAAACATTTGTCGAAATGGATGTCATTAGAACTGGAAAGGTAATGATACTATTAAATAGATATTTTAACGAAGCATGCTATTAGATTTGCAATTTTATGATTAGCAAATGAAAAACTGTTCAACCTTACGGCTTTATAGTATTACAAACGAGTTTTAGTTGGTAATTATAATTATAATGAGAATTATTTCTGTCAGTATGTTGTAGTTAAACTTCTTGGAACACAAGGCGATGAAGCTGATCGATTAAGCATTAGATCTATAAAATTTCTTGGATTCTCATACCCCAAGATCCCGGAATTTGATTACATTAATGTGGTGAATATGAAATGTCTTCAATATTAATAATAGTTTAGAATAAATTAGGATTAAAAATGTTACAGAAACAACGATGTATAGGTGGAGTTAATTTCTCATTTTAAAACACTAGGATGCCGTTGCACCAATTCCTGACTCTGCTGCGGCTCCTATCGAAGCAGACTCTGTTGTTCTTCGCGTAACTAATTTAATTTGTAGTTGCTTGTTAAAGCAGGTCAGCATTGTAATTAATATATCTTCCATTCTCTATAGAAATATTTAATTCTTCATAGTTATTGAATTTTTGTTAATGCTATAATTCGTAACCTATCAATTATACGATAGCTTATAATATAATTATTAGCATAAGCACGTAGCACTATATTTGATAAACTATGATTACATTATAATCTTTTTTATGAATTATTTTATTTGCAGAGAAATTTACGAAAACAATCTACAGTATCTAAAAATAAGGTAACAATGATTTAATTGGCGTAAACTACGCCTGATTGGTCGTTGATTTCTGATGGATCAATTTTACCACTAGTAACAAATTTCTTTCATTGATCTAGTTTTTTCATGATAATAATTCGCTAAATTTGAGTACGATATGGAAGTTATATTCTTTTTATACGAAAAGGTTTGTAGATTTTTATTTTTGAGTCAAATACCAAGTACTATACTGTACTACTTCTTTACAATGTGGTCATTTTAATGGTAATTACATAGGAACGATAATAAAGGAAAACTAGCTAAGATATTGATACTGCGAGTATTATATTTAACCTTACCTCGGCTGAAAACATCTGAGAGCTGGAAAGAATTACAAAATGATTCAAATGAAAGTAATAATGACAACTCTGCCAATAAGGTAAATAATTAACGTATTTAACTCTAAAATGATCTTTTTTGATACCTTTAAATTTATATCAAAATTTATTCCGGATAATCTCCTTAATCCTTATAGGATGCAACAGTGGCTAGCCGTCAGGAAATGTTTTCTCATCTTTGTAGCTTAGTTAATGATAATTCTATCAACAGTGATCATTCACTGGTAGCAATAGTTACAGCTTCAATTATTGAAGGCAAGTAGTGTAATTTGTAAAGGTATCGTTGTGTCTGTAGATAATTCTGACATGTACTCGTATTCATCATGAATAATTTAGGTACTGAGGTATTTTTCCCACGACCTGAAACCTGTTGTCAATACTTAGCTGAACTTCTCGATGAATTAAAGATAAAAATTTCAACGGTTAATACTTAAAATCGATTATTGTGTTGTCACTATCTTCAATTGTAGTTATTAAATATCTTGTCGATCTATGTGAAATTGCAAAATGTTATTACGCTATTCTGTTAGGGACGAAGATCGGATCATTCGGTAGCCGTAACCTTAAGATCGCTCTGCCGTTATTTTATATCTGGTCATGCTATGTTTCTTCTAAAATTACCTGAGAATGTAACATCTGTAAGAAATAGTTCGATAAGCTCTTATTTCCTTACTCATAATTTGTAAGCAGATATGTAGAATGAAAGGCTAAATGATATGACTTAAAAAATTAATCTTTGTTAGGAAAGCGATTTATCACATGCCCTAAAGATTATCCAGAAGGTGTTGGAATTATCCTTCCGAGAGGTATGATTATAAATATGTAGCTCTGTAACGGAATTTAATTGAGATTGTTATAATAATCAATTGCACAAATGATACTATTCCAATATATAAATCCAATTAGAAATGTTATCTATAAAGTTTCATGAAATTGTAATAGTTATATTGATGTTACTATGGACTAGAATTTATTGTTTGTCTAATTGGAACTATTTTCTAAATTTTAGTGTGAATCAATTATGCGAGCATACCACTATCATGATGAAGAATATAAACCCACTGGTATTACGCAACTACTTAATGTATTGCAAAGATACCTGTTCTCTTGGTGTTATAATCAGCTACGAAAGCCAATTACTGATATAAAAATACGTCGTCAAATTGAAGATCTTATTAATAAATGTTAGTTCCGTAATTGTCCTATAATTTAATCAGAATGTTTATCCAATCTCTTTTATAAAATGGCATTGTATCTTGAGAACATTGCAATTTTGTTGTTATCGCATTTTAGATACAACCGTTGTTGTTAAAAGAATGAATATATGTTTAGAAGTACTATTGCAAGATGCCGTCAACAAGGTAACTTATTGTTCGTTTAGTATTGTCTTGACATAAGAATGACTCTCATATTCGCAACAGTAAGCTACCAGAAATGATATGATTAAGATACCCTGAATTTCTACTTACTTTTAATTTCAAATATCGCTTATCTTAAATTTCTTTTTAATATATAGGAGCAAGTCGTTCTATGGACAAGACACACATTTCTTTCAGTGACATGCAGAGAATTAGTAAGTAATTACATCAAAACTGTAGCAATGGTGCCAGAAAAAAATTTGGTTTTGTACTCTAAATTTTAAGCCTTGCGCGTAAATCGAAAGTGATGACTTATTCATTTGTGTAATTTTTGCAGATGTTACTACTTCCTTTCATAGTTAAGGAAGTCAATACAATCCATAAGTTTGTCGTAGATACATTCCAACCAATCACTGTAAAATTGATTAAATTGGCAGCTGTCCTACCGAAGTTGTTTTTTACGGTTTGTGATATAATCATGTGACTACCAATTTTATGCTTCATTTCAAGACAATAGTAACGTTTACATCGCTTCTATTTTAACTAGCTGAACGATCTTGCTTGGGAATGTGTTGAGGACAAGGTGGAACTTCGTATTTGGAATGAAGAATCAAACCACAACTACGAAAACAACTTGCATGTTACAAAGGTCAGTCATTACAGCGGTTTAATTTTGTTTTATTTACTTAATCAAATGAAAGTTGTGGACACGGCGTGCTCAGTATTAATTTTTATGTCGGAACAGACATTTTATTGTCCGGGTGCGCATTCGTTTGTAGTTGAATTTGATGAAAGATGCAGAACCGAGCGTAGGTTCGTTAAAATCAAAATTACATTTATCATAAAACTACAGATCTTTATAATTGGAAGCTACCTGAAGTCAATATTGCTGTCATTTTCTTACTTTTCTTTTGCATAATTTTTTATCCTAGTTTCGATTACTTAGAATTTGTCGATAAGACTGGAAACACAAAACGGTTTGATTATAAAGTTGGATTTGAAAAATGGCCAACTAAAGCAACATTTCAAGGGCACAACTTACGATTTACTTTCAATTCGGATAGTTCTAATACGGACTGGGGTTATAAATTTAAGGTAACAGTAAGAACGTATTAAGCATGTCTAAACACATTAGGGTGGTTTGGTGTCGATATTTCAGCTCTAATCACAACCACTTACGGTTTATAGTATACTAACGTTTATTTTGCTGTCAAAATAGGTATCTGCTTTTGGTTATAAGCTAGCTTCTTTGCCTTGGTTATTCGATTTGTTTTTAAGCCATGGACGTTTAATCGGATTTCTATGTAGAGAGCTCTATATCGGTGAGATTTTCTTAATGATGCGATACATACAGTTTTTGTAGGCTATTTTGCATGCCGAATAGTTGGAAGTATAAATCTACTATTATACTGGCTAGGCTCATCTCGACGAAAGTTATTAACTAAAGATACTACATCAACAACCGATGAGCCTACTTTAGAGGATAATAAAATATGGCAAACTATATTCCGTGGTGGAATCGAAGTTGGTAAAACGCTTACGAGGAGTTTGTCAGGATACCACGTATGTCACAAATTAGATTCATTGATATAGTTTTCGTGTATATTCGGTGCGATGCTTACGCTGTCACATGTCCTGAAGGACCTTTTATTCAATTCAAAGGCTTTTACGTATTTATTTCTATTATCTGTTACTAATGATTTAGTCGTCTGAAGGAAGCAAGTCATCATCCTCATTTGAATTCATATCGGATTTAGCGAAAAACGAGGGTGACGCAGAGAAACTATTAAAGCGGTAAGATAATGAAAATAACCTATTTTTTTTTTAATTTTAGTTACTATGCATATTTTGCTATTAGAACATTAAAATTAACTATATTTACTTGTAACTGTTGTCTAGATGTCGAAAGATCTTGGGGTATCAAAGTATTGGAGGAAATTTAGTCAATTGTACCGTGGATGCTACATTTGCAGCCTTGATCTGGCACAATCAGTATTTACGTGATGATATTTTAAAAATAGGTAACTAACATACTATCGATTTATGCTACCTAATTACTCAATAGTGTGTACGTAGTACATACTATGGGTATGGTACTCTTCGATTGAAAATGCGTCCTAATATATTTCATTAATTAAGCGAAGCAGGACTACTTTTAATTGCCATGGCAGCAAACTAATAACAGTATTATTCGTCAACATAAATAAATGTTTTCAGATTTTGATGTATTTAATAATGAATTAAATAAAATATACCAACAATAAAGACAGCTCGCAGACAATATCAAGACGGAGATACGATAAAGGAAGCATTCACGGTAGTAATTATCTCTCTCGGTCATTTTATTTCCTTTAGTAAATGCTGATCAATCTCCAGCCATGATACCACCAGGCATTTTATGTGCCATGGCAGCGGCTGAAAATTTTAGAAAGGATCTTGTAAGCAATTATTTGTAGCTCAAATTGATGTAAGAAATTCTTACGTTTACATTGAATCATGATAATTTTGATAACAGGTTAGCCGGAAACAGAGAATAATTGCTTCTCAGGATACTTCAGACATAAATAATAATTCTGTTGGAGATGAATTGAACACCAGCACTAGTGATGATTATGGTTAGTTTTCATTCGATTCAATCTTGTTATTTTCACTGATTGATAAAGATTTCTACAGTCTACCCAGTCATTTGTTATCCTACCGTGGAATCGAAATTAACTTTGTGACTACATTGTTGTTAAAATCTACCTCTATAGTTATCTCTTGTTGGAACAAGGCCCAATTCTTGCTTAAACTATCAAGTCAGCCATCCAATATAGCTACTCTAACTAAAAGTCACGGAAATTTGACTGTGAATGAGAAAAGACAATTACATCAGAAATTAAGACTTCATTTTGGAATTAAAGTAGTTCCTGCATCATTAGAAGTATGACGAGCTGTTATTATAATTGCATGTTGTATGCTAACCGATGTATGTATCGTGTTAAACAAAATTGTGATACTATGATATGATATGTTTTTTTCGTTTCAGAAATTGACGTCTAATGAGTTAGATTACCTTCGGGATAATTTCAAAATCATTCTTGGATTCATTCGAAGTAGTAAAATTAACGTTAACGAAGTGGAAGAATCATTTCATGCTCGTACTTATCGAGCTAAAAATCTTATACATACATTTAATCAAGCGACGGAATATCTTAAAGCCTTAATGAAAGAGGATACAACTAGTCTTCCAGCTATTGTATTTTTAGAATACTTATTGCAAGATCAAAAAGACTTTCCTTCTCACTTTCTAGATGGTGTAGAAGGTTGCGGTTTAGAACTTGAGAAAGGAATTCGAAGGACATTTTATTCTCTTGTCAGATACTTGATTAGATATGTACAAAAATTATTATCCAAGAATGAAAGGTGAGTACTGTGCCGCCTAGATAATTTAGTAGTTGTTAATGTTATGTGTTTTAACATTGTTTTTACCATTATTTCTCTTATTAGAAAAAGTGGATACGAAATTATTCTATTTTTATTTACGCGATTAATGCTTATCCAGTGGAAGGTATTTTATCAGTGGCTTTCACTGCACTAGTATTAATTAGAATCTATTAAAGCATCCACTCAAGAGTTTAGACTTAATTTTATCTATGCTAATCCAAGTATTTGCAAATATAACAGATGGAAGATTTTAAGTTTCTTCAGGAAATTAACGCTGCAGAGACATTATTTAGGATCACAATAGGTATTCTATGTTTCCTACACGTTAAAATGGTTCAGATATCATACACAGATCATTACTAACGCTTTATTGCAAATTTTAAGCTTGTAAAGTACTTAAATAGTACTTTCAGCAGAGCGATGTACTTAAATGTAATAAATCATTACTCGATTTTGATCTGATTTTAATAGATACGGCATTTGTTCCTGCCTTAGTTGGAACAAGGGAAAATCCAAACGAATTAGATACATATCGTCAGCACAGAAGCTATGCTAAGGAAGCAGTTAAAGACTTCGATAATTGGTTCAGTGAATTTTCTGAACTTTCGGACGCAAATAAGGTTAAATACATTAAATAGGGTTATTATGGATAGTCCTTAGATGATTGGCAGCATCTTTGATCAACTTCCATGTTTATAAGGGAAAAGAATTTGTACTTACAAATATCCTTATATAATTATAGGAAGTACATATGTTTATTGCACAAAATAGTGACGTAATGGACGTTAAAATTTCATGCGACGGTTGCGAAAGAATAGTATCTGGTAGGCGCTTTAGATCCCTAACGTGCCGGGATCTAGATTTGTGCACGGATTGTTATATTTGTAAGTTTTATTTCTTTCTATCTGTATTGTAAAGTACGTATCTATGAAATTGTATATTATTTGCAATTAATATCACTTAAAAAATCTTAATTGTCTATCATTAATAGCTGGTGTAAGACCTGAGGAACATATGGGTGAATATGAAGTTGTTGAATTCTGGTTAGTTAATAACTTGGTATAAAGGAGATATTTTGTTTAAGAATCTTAACGTCGATTGATAAATTTGTTCAGATGTACTCCTACTTTAGTTGATATAATGATTCTTCTAAATCTTAAACTAATATGCGTTCCCTTTGTTTTTGGCGGTAGTACAATCTGTCATTCTTGTAGATCATTTATAATTGGAACTAAAGTAATGTGCAGCTCCTGTAATGTTATATGGTGCTACGGCTGCTTTAACGCCGGAATTTATAATACCGAGTAAGTGCGCTTGGTAATTTCTTTAAGTTTGTTGCTGTATGTTATGGTTGATAAGAATATCGTTTTTTTAACAGGCACGCTGGATGCTCATCTGATAGTGTAACGAAATTAACCACTAAAATAGGTAAATTCACTCAAAGTTGGTCGCTCTATACTGTATTTATGCATTTAGTTTAAATTGTATGAATTGATAACTTTATTTCTATACCTTATAAATTATAGCTAAATTTCAGAAGAAAAGAACGCTAGAGCCATTAAGGACCTACTTACATAATTACAGCTGGAATCTCTTCACCGGATTGGCAATATATGCTGCAAATTCTAAGTTGAAAATATCTGGTAATTTACATTACGTAGTTTCTCCAAAAAAAAATTTAGGCATTACAATCTTAATCAAAGACATTATACAATCTAGTTATTTCTATTTTTTCAAAGTAATGATTGGTTATCTCATTAGAATTACACTAAGGCAGTAATGTTAACTTTTGTTTGACTTTTAATTTATTATAGAAGTTACTGCATATAGGGAAGCTTCTGACCAAATCGCTAATCGCTGTCTTGAGCTAATCATTGGCGGTTTAGAAAACTCTTCTTCTACTTTTGGTAAGGATTTTTCCCTTGGTAATAAATTCTTTATTCCACATTGCTGATCTCAGTGCATATTATTACAGATACCTTGGCACATCCTAAGAGTGATAAAGAATCTCTGTCGATTACGGTTCCTTTAGACATTAGCGATTCCACAACCGAAAGTGTAGCCTTCAAGCAGTATCCGTCTAATTCTGCTGAAAATAATGAAAAAGGCCTCGAAGCCAAAAATTACTTTGAAAATTCTTCTGCACATGAGCACGGGTAAATTTTTTATGCAAGGCTATTGATAAATACCACGTTCGTAAGACCATGCCGCCTAACAATTATGCTTTCAATCCATAGGAACACTCATCATAAAGGGCAGTTTACTTTTGCTCAAAAAGTTAAATATTTCAGCTCTTGCTGTCAGGATCGTGTATTAGGATTAATATCAACTATGCTCATTACTGTAAGTACTTATGCTGATGATTTTGTACATTTCTTTGATTTCTTTAAGCGTGTATAATTATAGACGGTAGGTTTGGCGATTAATATTACTGTAAATCTAACTATCGTATATTCAGGAGAGAAGAGATGATGATGACTTAATAAAGGAAGCTAGTCAGATTTCAGAATTCCTCTTACCGGCTCTATTAGCAATGATAGGGTACACTAAGTGAATAAACGAAATTAAAAGTTGAAAATTTGTGAAACAGAACAATACTGATATTATATATTTACTGCGACTTCGTTATTGTATTGATAGCTTTAGATTGCACCTTCTAAATAAGCGATTTTAAACCCTAGCACTTCTATTGCCAATTATTTAGGGATAATCTTTTCAGTAAAGAAGTGAGTTCGTTGTGCTACGGTGTCTTAATGCATTATATGAAATGGACAAACCCTCAGGTAATGTAAATTTAGAATTTAATTAGCTTTCCTAGACTTTCTTTACCAGATTTTAAAAGGCAAAAGAATGATAAAATTAGGCACCGCATTCATGGTTAGCGTTGACTAAATTTTAAAATCGTAGGTTGCTGATAAAGCGGTCTCGACAGTACTTATGAAGTCAAGCAAGCCAAAGACAGAGCAAAGACATATTCTACAACAAACAGTGACTGCCGATGCAACCTTAGATTTCCTATTCTCAATGATAAAGAAATCACTAAACAGGTATTGTAAAGATTTGAGAACCCTGAGTCTGTACATGTTATAATTTGTGATTATAAAATTGGATGTACGATATGTTATGCTGTATTTAGGTGTGATTTCACTAGTATTTATGGCGTGGCTTCTGTCTTACTGAGCTTAAAGAATTCATCTCTGTGGTCATCTGTTTTATTTAATTACATTATACGATGTTTAACAGAGGTAAGAGCTAAGATTGGGCTTGTTGTTCGTAGGTGCAGGTATACAGATATAGTAATGCACCTACAGTTTCGGTAATTGTGACTATATAACTGATATAAAATTCTTATTTCTATTTAGATTTCTGATTCTCAATCAACCATTGCCGCTTTGATATCTTTAGCTGGTTTCCCAAAGGTTTGAAAGATTGCGATATTTAATTATGTGTAATTTGTACGCTAATACTCAAGAAGTATTGCTTTATTGATTATCTAGATTCCATTTCCCGGCTCAATTTGTACTCAAAGCGATACTTTGGTTGGTTCTAAGCCGGTAGTTATACTTTATAAATATTTTGAGCGATCCGAGTGTCTAACATGTGATTTACGATCGCACATTCGAAGAATAGTAAGTTACTTGCTCTCGGCATTTTTGCTTAGTCCAATTGTTATGAAGGTCTGCAATATTGTTAATTATAATCTTACTTCGTTGACTTTTATTAGGTACCCGCTAGTAGTTTAAAAATTAAAGGAGATCTTAATAATTGCCATGCAACGCAAATGATGTATAATTCTGTTTTGCGATCCATAGTGACTTGTTACAAAAATAAATGTCAAGGTAGAAACATTACTGTAAAAACGTTTCTTTTAGATTAAAAGTAACTAACGTAATGCAAAATTTGTATAGATTCCGAAAGATCATTTGAAAGCGAATTAATATTATTATATATTTTAAAGAATGTGTATCAATGTCTCAATGTAGGTTTCAACAATTATCGCTTATTTTACTTAACAGAAGTTTATTAACTATGCTGATGAAAGAATTCTCTTATTTACTAGGTCCCTGATAGTGAAACTTTTGATCTGATTATCGATAACGTGATTGGCTGCATTTTTCAATTAAGTTGTGAGGCTGTATCTATCGATAAGAATTGGATTGTAGAAGACTTAGAGGTAGAGCATTAATTTCTATTATTATAATCAAATATAGACATTTACTTTTTGTAAATAATTTAGCATTTATTATCCTTACTTTAGCTATTAGCCATTTATGCACGTAAAACATCTATGACAGCTACTGCCGGAACCGATAGTAAGGAAGTGAATGAAGAAGAAGTATTTAGCGGTGACGATAGCGCTAGCGTTAGTAGTAGTAGCAGTCATTCCGATGATAGTTCATTCGATGATGCTAAGCCGGATCAAGATCCTAAAGATAGTAAAGTAATAGATCCACTGGAAGGATTACCACCTGAAGCTAGAGATGGCATTCAGGTTTTTATGGCATTGTTGTCTTTGCTAATTGATTTGAATTCAGTATAATTAAACTCGAAAAGAATATTTTATATTCCAGACCATCCATGAAGCTTTAAATGCTCCTGTTGCGTTTCTACGTGCCATGTTTGAATCGTTAGGATCGAATTTGACTCAATTTATTGATGAAGTACAACGGAGGTTAAATAACTGCTATAGGTGTTAGGATAGCTATCCTAAAATGACCATAAATTGTAATTTACTGTCAATTATCATTTATAAACCAGATATACGAATGATGGAATGGAATTTACTGATGAGATCAAACAGTTAGCAAAGCAATGGTATGATCAACTTTTGATAATAAAGTACTACAGTTTACGGCATCTGGGTTTGAGATACTGCAAGGCTATACTATTCATGCTACTTGATTCTGAATTAATATGGCGTTCACTTTATTAAGGATGCCTAATGAAACCAGCAATAGTAAAGCTCTCTTATCTGATGATGGGGCCACAAATTGGATTACTAGTAGAACATCTAGCATTCTTGAGCCTGATGACGGGTAAATATGCTCATTTATCTAATTCTGTGGATAATGAATTATTTATGCGATTCTAAGTGCGATTGATGTACTAAACTTATTAATTACTTTAGTCAAGTAAAATATATTACGAAATGAGAAAATCCTCATTAACTGTTACATACTTTAACTCTTAGAATCACTTTTACCCCGGAACGGTCAGATTTGTCACCAAATTTAATTGCCGAATATACCGATAAGGAAATGAAGCGGGTAGGAAAGAGTCGATTTAATGTCGATAAGGTGTGTTCTGATGTATCGCCAATGTGCTAATTGTTGATTTTTATCTATATATATGGAAGATGATTCTTGATCACAATTGTGCGGAATCTTCAGAGCTGTTATCAAAAGAATTGAAGCGTTTAGCAAGTTATAATGATAGTCGCGCTATTGAGGTATTACAAAAATGAAAGGATTCATTTCTGAGATATTTTTGATTGGTTGGTAATATTAATACTTTTATATACGCTCTTAAAGATTGCTCATGCAGCATCGGTGCTATATGCAAGAAAAATTGTCAGTTTTGTTTTTGCAAACTGGCCCAGAAATCGATCAATTAGTGAGAATCTTTTAGGACCATCATTTGGTGTTGATTTGACGCAATTTTTTTGCCTACTTTTTCAAGCTGATGATTCTCAAACGTTTGAAATGGTATTTTATATTCAGATTTGTTAATCAAGTATCATTGTAGAAAGGATTAAGAAATTATTGATGTATCGTATTAAAGGACTAAATTTTACATCTAAATCTCGATTGGTAGATTGTGAAAAATATTGTTAAATGGGCCGAACCGCATGTCGTTCTTTCGCTTTATTTGTCTGCTTCCGCATCGATGTCAAATGCAAAACTTACTTTCAAGACTCGGGAATCGAGTCACGATTACGATAATGATGATGAGACAAACGTAATATTTACTACGAATATATTAAAATTCTACATAACGCAAATGTTCCTCCATCGTTTTATTTAATATCTCTCAATTTTGTAATAATCAGGATAGCTTTAAAATTGAAAATTCCAACTGGTTAATGGTATTTTTTGACTCTCAGTAAGTATAAATCTGTTACATTATGTGGCATCACGTTGATTACGGTATTCATGCATCCTGTATCTCTATTCTCCAATAGATGTATAACAGAAAGAGATTGTGATATCTTAACATTGGCTACATCGAGCAGTTTTCAAGAAAATAGACACGACTTTTCAGGGGCAGGTCCATGGGATAAAATAATTTTGCCGGGTAAGGATAGTCGAGCTATGTATGTGAGATATAATTTATTCCAATAACATAGTTTACCGAAGATTAGTTAACACAAGTATAATATAACCTGTGCTTTAGGTGATACGGTCCATTTCAAGTTTACATGTCAATGTAGCGGTGGTGATTGGGGTTGGAAATTTACTGTTGTTGGAGGAGAATTAGACAAGTATATATTATTGGTGATTGTTGTAAATGTTGTATAACTAATATTTAAGTTTGTAACTGATTCATTCTAGATTTGATGTCGGCTATAAGTTGTTATGCATTTTACTGTCACAAACAACATCGAAGTTGAAGTGAGTAAAAGGACTAAATTATAGGTTTTGATAAGGGTATTGATAGTTTAAACAAGGTTATGTTTTTATAACAGAAATTATATTTTATTTAAAGGCAGTTACCGTTGAATGGATTATGGATGAATCTTATTAAAGCTGCCGCTATTCATACATCCTATTGGAGATTAATGGCGGTTAAATTATTACTAAAGTTATTAGAATTAGTTTCGAGGTTGGTTGTCTTGGACCTTTTCAATTATATTATTTCAGAAATTTATGTTTGAAAGTAACGTAACACTGTTGGATATAGTATTAAAGAATCAGAAGAAGATTCCATTTCTGTTACTGAAATAAAGAAGCAAATTGATCTAACACAATTAAAACGGTTATGGTTTCTATACTGCCATACACTGGATGACCGCAGTAAGTAACAACGTATTTTGAATTCTTTATAGTATAGCATTACTATTTTCTGAGTGTTGTATTGCTCCATCTTTGAATACTATTTTAGGCGATTGCTCATTCTGCCCTTTAGCTCGCGCTTTAACTGATTTATTTTTACTAACGGAAGATCTTGCAGCTGTAAGTAGAACTATACTACTAATGAAGTGCATATATTAAGCAAACCTTGTCAATCCATATTTACCTCTGGCTGTTATATCTATTTTTTGCGTGGTAGAAATGGCGGGTAACTGATGATATTATGGCGACTTTTATAATACAACCTAGAATAGGAAAATTACTCTTGCAGGTAGATCATACACTTCATATCTAATATAGATCATCTTGTTGCTTACGCAAACGACATCTATCGTGACTTAATATTATATAACTCGTATTTATGATTATTACCATTGCAGGGTGCTAGTCGCGTTGTAGGATTAAGTAAAATGATCGATGAAGAGTGTAGTAAGGGTATTACTAATGTGGTTAGAAAGATAATTAAAGAGCATGGTCAAACCATTTTAGATAATTAACTTGATCTTTTTTATACCGGATTGATTATTTACTGTTATCTGGATGATTAATGGAATTGTATTTATTAGCACGAAAACTTGTAATTAATCAACGTCTGTAATTTTTAATTCGTTGCTTAAATGCTGTACTATTGATAAAATATTGCCTATAAAATCGTTATATAACATATTTAATACGTGTAGATATATCCGTGTGGTAAATTATATTGGAAAGGTGAAATAATTTTTTATAAATTCCTTTTTAAAAGAAGTTAATGGGCATGTTTTTGGCAGAATAAACAAGATAAATTTATTTTTGATTGGGCTGATTGATCGTCTAAATAAAAAATAAATACCCTTCGGCAGCAGCTATCATATATAAGTCATAACAGTTCATGAAATTTAGCTCATATTGGATAGCTAAATTAATACAGACATTGTTCATAATTTTGGATATTTACTGAACGATTCCAGATAATTAGACTACCGTATGTCCACACACAGAATTATTTATGGTATCATCTATAATTGAATATCTTCAGGATATTCATCACAAGCGTTACAAGACATAACACTATCATTAATTAATATTAGTTACCTTATGAGAACTCTTCCTTACAGCATAATTTACTGTAACAAAATAATAACTACCGTAGCTTTTACTGTAAGTCATTATTAGTTATCTCCATATATAAATGCCAAACACTAAATTTAGTCATTTACTCTTCATCGTGGTTCGTACCGTGATAAGAATCTACGATTTTAATTACAAGAATCGTATCTAAATATACAGCATATAGAGAATTCAAGATATGGGAGGAAATGATAGAACCTATGTTTAGCTTCACTGCTATATTTCACCAGAAAATGTACTTGCTCTTGATGATCTAGCAATAAAGGAAGAAAGATTTAATCTTTCAGGGAATGTCAGACTACATAATCTAATAATTTACAGGATATGCCAAGTTTTCCAAGACGTAGTGGAACACAATTACTTTTTCAATATATTCAAGCTATTTTTATGTTAATCTAAAATAAAACTTTATATAAGCGATTTGCCTGTATCTGATGGTTTGATAACGAAGGGCTTAAAATATCCGGCTTAATTCAATTTAATTATAAATAGTGCATTGAAGGTATCTCGGGAGAAACCACCTGAAATCTTATTCCTCTTTGAGACATAGATGGCTTTGGTCTTGACTAATAGCATTAAATGCTCAACGGATGGCGTTGTCGCCGATCTAAGAACATGATCAACCGAAAGTAACAGCACACATCTCTAGTTAACTGGTAGCTCTTATAATGTAAAATTATGGGACAATCCGATTTATTTTCTGCGATTTTAATTCATTGCGACTGCTATATTAACTTAGTGCAAAGAACTGATGGAAAAATCATAACAGACTTGGCTAGCTAGTTGGCTTGTTGCAATCCTACTATCGCTCAGTCATGTTTATGTCTAGTTTTAAATGAAAAACTGAAAAGTTCAAATTTTGACTTTTGAATCAGGAATTTAAGAATGGATCAATCATAGTTCGATTAAATTAAACATGTTTCAGATTTGCTTCAGTAAAAGCTATTAACTTTTTTATTAAATCATGTTGTATTAACTCAGGTAATATACATAAATATTGATTGTTGGAGTTAAAATATAATGTATCAATTAGTGTAGAGATTTATTTTTGTCTATGCCAGTTTTACTAGTACTATTATCTTAATTAATCGTTGCCAAACAAGAGCTAATTTTTTATATGTATTTTATAATCGATCTCAGTAAATTAATTTATAGTAATCTTATAAATAAAACTGCTAGTTTTTTAGTAATCCTAGAAATAGAAAATATAATCGATGTTGCATACAGACTTACCATAGTATTGCTAACTGTTGATATTTTATCCTGTATTTTGACTTTATTGGCCATTCTCTTTTTCTATCCATGCAACGAAAGCGATAATATATTGAATCGATGAAATCGTGTAACAGTAACAAGTATTAGGTAGGAATTGCTTCTAATAGACCTTTCAATAGACCTTGCTTCTAATAGACAACTCCAATGTTGTAATAAGATTCCGCAACATCAGGATAATTAGCTGTAAGCGTCATTAGCCTAATATTGTATGATTTATTCAACATCGATAGAGAGTCGTTGTACTTGCCTTGTTGGCTATAAACTTCCCAAGTATTGTTATATAATGCAGCAACGTCGCAATTATTTTCGCCTTGAAGGATCATACGGAATCCTGTAAATTGAAATTAAAATTATGAAACAGCGAAAATCTCTTGAAAAATCACTGAGGATTAAATTTCAATGTAGTCTTCAGTGATTTTTCATGCATGCTTAAAGCTTCGCTATATTTGCCTTGATGGAAGTAGGCAAGGCCAATTTTATGATAAGAGTTACTGACATAGGGATTTTCGGTGTTTCATAATTTCATATTACAGGATTCCGTATAATCCTTCTAGGCGCCATTTCCATTAGCCAGAAATCGTTTCATGTTATCCCACCTATCCTTGCATCTAGCAATCTTCACTTCATTTTGTAATTTATGTAAATAGTGTATTCCAGTTGATGAACATCATTTCTACCACTGGGCATCAACTCGATTAAAGTTTCAGCTTGTTTATAGTATGATAGAGCTTATTGATAATTGTAATTTTTATATTTTCCGCCCTTTTCGCGTAGTGATTTGCTTACATCCATAATTATAATGGACAACCTAGGAGAATAATTAGCTCTACTTACAGTTTAGGAACAAAAATCTTCAAATAAACGATGAGAGCACGAGCAGGCGAGCTCTTTTCGATGAAGTAAATAGCTACGAATACGAATGGCCAACACCATAAATCCACTGTTTGATCCAAAATAGTTGTTTTCAGCGTTTAGTATTAATAGGTCGAAGTTTGTCACAGTTAAATCAGTTACGGCTAATATTGAAAATACTGTTAGTATGGATATTGCTGTAACCAAGTTTACCCTGAGATTATTGATAATAATATCAGATAATCATTGATTTCTATGTATAATAACCAGGTTTAACCGGATACTATTGATAATATCAGTAAGTATGTATATGTATAATTGATAAAATTAAAGAGATATGTGGAGGAGGACAAATTTGACGAGGGTATTTAAATATACTGTAAATGTTTAGGCTAAAAATATTCAGATGTGGCTTATGAATTTCATTCGCTGTCGTAGTAAAGTCTTAACGTCGATAAAATCTCGTTAACATCATGATCATGCAATCCAGATTTATATCATTCCGGTAATAGCAGCATTCATATAAGTTATAATTTTATATTTGATGTTATACAAAGTTTAGGATTACGCTTTATCTTTACTATTGTACAGCATTAACTTTTGCATACTATAACAAGAACATTTATTAGCATAAATTAAAGTTATAAAATCATTCGTGAAACTCTAAAGTAACGCTACATATAAAACATGATATAATATTAAATCAATATTTTCATCTATTTTGTGATCAAAGTATCTAAAAAGAAAACATGTCGTTAAGCTTAGTCGGTGTTATGGTATTTTATAAATTTAGATAATTAAACTCATTGACATCAAATCGTATCACATTACAGTAGATCTTTCAAATCTAACAACGATCTATAATTCTCAGTTTGACAATCTTTTTTGATGCCACTTTATATCAACTTCGTTTATACATAGTCTTATCAGAAGCACTTCTCTAGCTGAGAATTGACTGGAATTTATTACATGATAAACAGATCTATAGCACAGAATGTGGACGACTGCGTAACGGTAGCTCAAGGTTCAGTTTGTTCAGCTCAGCGAGTTGGCTAGTTAGTTGATTGAACCGAGCTAGTCACTGGAAAAGTAAGTTTGTGCTAGTTAATGAATCTACAAAATATAAGAACTCAATTCTATAATACATTGAAGTACTTACAAGTATGTAAGATAGAGTACCTCAGCTGTTGAGCTAATTTATCAACCGGGTTAAGAAGATTATAACAATGTCTCTTCGACACTAGTTCTATTTTAATAAAACAATCATTCAGACCGCAAAATTATTAAGCGGTATTTGCTTGAGCTGGTCTACAAATTAAACCAATAATAAAAATTAAAAATTTTTTTTTTAAGTCCAAGCCGGTATTCTTAAATCTCTTTAAGTAATTAACGGTCTATCGTGAATTTTAATTCATATGACTTAAAGCCCAATAATTGAATACTCCTTTTTTATTTTGATACAATATCTTTGCGTATTGTTAACGTTAAACGATTTGATTAAATATGATACTTGCATAAGCAGACTTTTGCATTGAACAATAAAATTAGTCAAAGAACAAAATTACGTAACCTCCAATAAATTAATTTGTCCTGCTAATATTTGCTTTACAATTGCAAGCTTGATACTAACTAAAGTGAGTGTATGGATATGGAAGGTAAGTTGAAAAAAAATTGTATTAGAAACATATAAATTGCTGTTATAACATAATTTATCGCTTCCTTTATTTGAAATTTATTTTTAATAATTTGCTCATTTCGTTATTTTTATTTTTTATAAATACGGCACATCTTAAATGTTAGTCTAGATATTTTTGTTTAATAGAATATCTTAAGTTTATCCTGAATTATTCAGATTACTTCATTAATTAATACAGTAGTGCTTATGTAAAGAAAATATCATAAGAGTACTTTCGTGATGGCATGCTCCTATCTGTTTTTAATGGCTTTTTTCAACACATTGGTCAAACATTATCTGACGTCATTTCTCTTACCTTTGCTGTTGATTGTTATTATCTGACACATACTTGTATAACCTTTAATTTTCATTTTCTTTTATACAAACCATGTCAGATATCTAATCTTGCATAAATATACTATTACCAACTCTTACAATATACGTATAACACTAGCTTCTATTCCTTATATTAGTCGGTTTATCTTCACGAGACTAATGGATATTTTTTCAATAAACTCTATTAGCGTTCCCATCTGTTAGCATATAAATGGCATGATCAAATTATTTGCTTTGCTTTATTCCTTTTCAAGATTCAATCTCCGAGTAACTAAAGTCTATGAATTTTTCTTGCACCAGCTAACCAAAGTACACTATTTTACGAGTACTTTTCTTTACCAAAGTTATCGCAACCTTATGATCTGTTGCTAAGAATATTCACCGTATCTTTCTTGTCTTATTATTAATAATACACGTTTTATTCCTCTATTTCATTTTACTAACATGAAACAGAGTATATCCTATGTAGCATCTGTTTCTAATATAGAATATTCATCACGTATTTCGCCGATTCGTCTAAATTTATCAAGAAGCCATCATCAAAATCTTATAGCATGTATTAGCTACACTTGGATTTTATCGCATTTCATCGATGTTAAAAATTACATAACGATAAATGAGCAACCAAGCAATCAAGTTCGTTATCCTTAAACAAATGAACCTCTACATTAGAAAAGTGAGGGTTTGCATCAAGGGTGCTATAATTTGCTAGCAATACATGAAATCTAATCTATTGCCAGTAAACGGACGATCATCAACCGAATTCAAGGTGATATTTATCTTAAAATGAATGATACCTACATCATACAATGCAATTGGATCAATGCTGACAAAATAATTAAAATGACACTAGAATTGGCTAAAAAATTTTAAAAAAAGTTCAAATTGCTAAATGTTTATATTAATAAGGTGAGATTAAAGACTAAATGGTTACACAGATGAAGCATTAGCCGATTATATGAAATCGATCTAACTTAGCATAAGATAGTTCGATAGTAATCTTATCGACACCAGCCTTTCCATACATAACCTCGATTCAAGACATGATTAATCAAGGATCTATACTTTTTTAATAGAAGTATTCACGAATCAAGATTAGGAACTAGTAGGCCATATTGTTATTACGTATATTATTAATATACCGGTATACCGTCGCGATGATTGCCAAAGAATGTCTCCTTGATAATTATAAAAGTATGGCTACTGCAATACACGCATAGCCTTGGAATCATATTTATTTCCAATCTTGGCAGTAATACTATCAACAGCTGGATTATGTAGATTTATTGGGTGCAGTATTAGCACGATTATTGCTGGCCAGTCAACTAAATATAATATTATCAAGCAATGTAGATGTAGCACGAAGCCTGTTCCCAATTTCGCGACGTAAACTGGCAGTAACATAGGCGTAAACGAGTGGATTTATGGCTGGATAGGAAAAAGCTAAATACTGTAAGTTACGTACAGATTCTTGTGCTGTAGACGTAACCAACCCAGGAAAAAAAAACATGAAAAGGCTAACGATATAGGGCAACCAAAATAGGATAAAGATACCAATCATAATTGCCATACATTTGATTGCTCGAATATTGCGCTTAATGAGTGAGATTGGTGTACTACCTCGTTGGTGCATGATTTTATTTCGTTGATGATTGTTAACAATGAACAAGATTTGTGTATAAGTCACAATTAAGACAAGCAATGGAAAGAAAAATAAAACGCTGAAAATAAGGATTAAGTAAGCTTGATGAAGTGGGTTGCTTGAGGTTAATTCAGCACAACGATCGGGTAGGGGAATTAATATTGTAACAAGGGGTAAATAAGCACTTAAAATACTCAATAACCAGACGGCAACCACTGATAACATTACAATTAAACAAGTTTTCCTTATTTTATATCTAATGGGAAACATAACACACAAGTATCGATCTAGACTGACTAATGTTAAATGTAAATTTAAGTTAATAATTAATCCGATGCCTGTTAGGGGTAGAACGGTGCATGCGATTGGGTCTTTATAAAGCCACTGATAGTAGAGTGTCCACCGAGGTAACAAATAAAATAGTCCAAAGATAATTCCAGTAAAAAACATGCTGGCCATGATCCAGTTTGACGTAGTATGAAGTTTACGCTCAGATATAATTAATCCCAATAAAGAAATATTAGTCAAGATAGTTAATCCTGAAATAACTCCATAAACGATAATAGATTGAGCTATTCCATTTGAAAGGAGGTTACTGCCATTGCCAGTTTGATTGGTTATATTAGACATGGTGAATTAAATTTTTAGGTAGGTAGGTAAGTTAATCAACGAGCTATGACAATTTCTTGTCTAGAAATGAAATTGCATTTATGATACCAATATGAATAATATTAAGTCTTCAATATCCATCTCTTCAATTGGCTATTAAAACATATCAATTCTCTTTTGCCTAATAACTAAGGAAAAAAAATTAAAAGTAGGGTTAAGATTATAACTGAGATGAAGATTACACCATGTAGGGATACAGAAAATGGCTGAAATGAATAATAACCGTAGCAAAAAATAAGATCAAATATCAGTTCAAGAGGTAATAAGATGGATGAGATATGCAGAATAAAATACGATTATGATATAGAATGAATTGCGTAAGTATAATACTTTCATTATTAATGATATCCTACATTTTTGATTCACATATTCGGATATTTTAACAAATAAAAGAAGTTTGTTTTAAGTGTTGTGGCTGTTACTCTTCACGAGTCTTAGCCGTCCTGCGCTATAGCGTAAGCTATGAAACCACGCAGATTTATACCTACGTACTATATAAGTAGTGCACTAGTCCATAACTAAACGAAAGATTATAAGAAATCACAAAATCTATTTTATTTTAATTTATTTTATGATACACCGATTTAAATGAATTATTAATATTATTTTTGTATACAAGATAAAATGTAAAAATGTTTGTATACGAGTAATTGGATGCCAGATGTTCCATTCAAGATCTCTTGTTAGAAATCCAGTCTGGTCTTATAAATTACAATATTTCTATAGAGAGCGTGAAGATAGCTTCTATAGCAACCTTAATAGACTTTCTGTGAGATATCAACGTAATAAATTTGATCTAAAAGTAGTTAAATTACGCATATTCCAACATAATTGTCTATGGCTATCTTGGGAACATTTAAGCTCATTCTAAGATGCCGGTTCTGTAGAACTTAATATTTGCCATTTAAAATTCTAAACAAGTTTATATTTAGGATTGTTACAATATGATGTGATAATGTGTCTCAAAATCTGTAATAATCAAAATCTGAAAGCTAATAAAGTTTACTTTATTACGTAAACTGCTTCTCCAACCAAGAATAAAACTAACTGACTCTAGGAGAAGAAATTTTCTGCTTGCATACATTGTGATTTAACTATATTTAGATCTATAAATTGTCATTAATCTAGTATCACATTACTCGTATAATCTCTGATGTTAGGCCACCTTAACAAAACAGTTTTAATAAGTGCTACAATATTTAATGTAACTATTTAGCACAGATATGCGCTTAATACGATCTTGAGATTCTATTTAATCTCAATTCTTACACATATCGTGTGAATCTTACACTATTACATATTATCTAGCGATTTCCTACAATCTATTAAGCTATTTTAGGAGCTGTACTACATATGATAACTATAATTTATCTCTACGGTTACGGTAGATTTCGATACAAATGTTTCACTAGGATTATTGACATTACTAGTACATGCAGTCTGTAAAGTAACATTGCAAAAGTGCTAAGATTAGTGCAGTACCTATGACATACAATAGCTATGTTAGGGTCATGGGGAAGAACGTCTTTGATTAGGACTTCCAAGTGTTAGGAAGGGCTTACTATAGATTCTGTAGAAACTCTAATAAAGTATAATCCGCCATCGAGTGCATAAAAGCCAGGAATTTTTAAGGAAAGAGGGTTGGTTAATTAGTTCTTCCTGCAAACTTTTACCAAAACTGGAACTACGAAGTCATATCCACATCAGAATTAAGTTTGTAAGCTTAATTAGTACATATGGCTATCTCGATAATAACACATTAACTTCCTAAATACTGCAGTATCGTGATAAAGAAGAAGACTGCAATGTTAGTAGAATAGAAGTTTTGAAGTGTCTAAGTAAAGTTAAATACTCATCCCATCTAATAAATAATTTGGCAACATGGGGATCATTATGCATTATCTTTGAAACATAAGAAAAAGTGAACGGAATAGAATCCGCGCCTTTAAGTTTATTTCCCGTTTAATTAATTGTAATGTTACCAATTTTAGATTTTTAAGTTAACTGGTCAGTTTTTCCTCTACTTTGACTGGCGATTAACCAGTAAGATGTGATGCTTCTTCGAAGAATTACTTTAACTGGTCTATAAATACAAATTAGGGTTTTGGACCAAACTACAGAGAAGATCGGAGACTACATCACAATAGAAAGTAAATCGTCCTCAAGTGAAGTACTCTCCTTCATCTTATTTTAATCTAAATATTCCCATCAACTAATTATTTACACACATGAGTACCAATATTGATGAAATAGGATGCAATTGAATAATTAGCCGACTTTGGCTTTGTAATATGTGGGTTCTTAATACATGCTGCACTATCACTGTATTCTCCTAATATATAATTACTATAATCAGCTGAAATCATTATAGGCTTGTTCCTAGATAATGTGCAAATTACGCTCGTAGGATAATTAGTTATGTCTCGTATTACAAAGAAGTAAAAGGATATCAATGAAATGTAAAATTCTGATGGCTTATACTTTAATATAGAATTAATACCTTTTTGAAAGTGAGACAGCGAAGATCAAAGTGACTGGATCGAGAATTAGAAATAAAAGTAGTGTAGTAATTACATTTTGTCTAAAGTAATAGTATGTTTAAGTTAAAAATATGCTTACGGTACAATAATGATTGAAAGCTATCCTGATTAATGCCAGCAACACTCTAGGTAAATTCATTTAATGAAAATCATCTTAATGTGAGTGGATCACATTATAACAGAGCAGTATGCAGATATATGTAAAATAACTATAACAATGATCTTCTACATATGCCAAAGCAATTATTATAGACTTGAAAAATGTTTGAAAATCTTGATACTTTAGTAGGCTAAATTCTAACCAACATCGAAGTTATTTATGGAAATTCAAGAGAAAGGAAATCTAGCTTGTTCAGTCTGCCTAAAAGCTCTAAAATTTATCTACTGGAATCAAAATTAATAAGATTAAGCTCTTTGCATGCTTCAGAATCACTTAAAATTCGAAAGTAGATACATCATAAATACCATCTTGACGTTGATTCGTCATACAATACTATACCAGAGAATTTATCCTGATCAACAGAAATATAGCCGAGCTCGAGCAATGTTCGATAATTATATAAATTACTAAGACTATCTCTGAATTCGTATTACACGAGTCTGCTAAGTTGCGTTGAAGTATAGAGTAAGATAACAGGCTTAAGTTATTATCAATTCGAATAAGATCAGATTCTATCCATATATCGTAGATTCGATAATATCATAATCATTCAATTTAGTGAAAAGAATTTGAAAGTGGCTGGTTTATATTAGCTTATGGCTAACTGTTATCATCAACTATGTTGAGATGAGGATGTAACTGTTATACGATAACTTCCAAAGATATATTTTCCTATCACATATTGCAGGCGATGAATAATTTAATCTTTGCTTTCAATATTAAACTAACATTGGATAATAGAGTTCCATAGATCTTACGTTAACTACAGCGTAACGATACACTAGAAAGAATAGAATAAAATAAGATGGCACACTAAATAGTAGGAGAATAGAAAGAAATAAGATAAATTATTAAAATTATAACAACAAATAGTATTAAGAAGCAATTAGTGTCATTGGATTATAGCAGACATGATAAATATATCGATAGACATATTTTAATGACTAAACGTAACGTTTAAACTTTAACATTATCAGTCATTTAATCACGCAGTTTGCTTGTTCGACACTGAAAGCAGTACCCTAATATTATAAGCTAATAATTTTTACTTTTAGACTTGTGTAGTAAAACTGTTAACAGTAGATAGTTACAGTATGTAATGTATAGTATTATCGCGATTATTACTAGGCAGTCAACCAAATGTAATACTGCTAAACCTTGTAGCGCGAAGTCTTTTCCAAATTTCGCGGCGTAAACTGGCTGTAACATAGGCGTATAGGAGAGGATTTATGGCTGGATAGGAAAAAGCTAAATACTGCGAGGGGCGTAGTAATTCTACTCTTAAAAGTGAATTATTTAAGGAGGAAGAAAACATTAGAATGATAACGATATAGGGCATCCAAAATACGATAAAGACACCGATCATAATTGCCATACATTTGATTGCTCGAATATTGCGCTTAATAGCTGAGTTTCGTATATCAATACGTCGAGACGTAATCTTGTTACGTTGATGATTGTTAACAACGAATAAGATTTGTGTATAAGTTACAAGTAAGACAAGCAATGGAAAGAAAAACAAAACGCTGAAAATACTGATTAAGTAAGGTTGATGGAGAGGGTTTGTTACTGTAAGCGTACGACAACGATTAGTTGTAGGGATTAGTATTGTAATAAGGGGTAAGTAAGCACTTAAAATACTCAATAACCAGATGGTAACTACTGATAACGTGGCAGTTAAATAAGTTTTCCTTATTTTATATTTAATAGGGAACATAACACACAAGTATCGATCTAGACTGACTAATGTTAAATGTAAATTAAAGTTAAGAATTAATGCCAAGCCTGTTTGGGGTAGAACGGTACATGCGATTGGATCTTTATAAACCCACAGATTGTGGAGTGCCCATCGAGGTAATAAATAAAATAGGCCAAAGATAATTCCAGTAAAGAACATACTAGCCATGATCCAGTTTGACATAGTGTGAAGTTTACGCTCAGATATAATTAATACCAACATAGAAACGTTAGTCAAGATAGTTAGTCCTGAAATAACGCTATAAACGACAATAGATTGGGCTCTAATTAGTTGGAAGTTATTGCTGTTAGAAGTTTGACTGGTTATATAACTTATATTAGACATGGTGAATTCAATTTTTAGGTAGACTACAGTAGTTAATCAATGAGATATGGCAACTTCTTGTCTAATATGAAATTAGATTTATGATACCAATATGAATAATATTAAGTCTCCAATATCCATCTCTTCAATTGGCTATTAATACAAGTCGATTCTCTTTTACCTAATAACTAAGGAAAAA